ATTTGCCAAATCCACATTATTTATTTATTTTTATTTATTTATTCAGATACCTACAGCGCCATGGGGCATTACAGTAGGGGGGGAGGAGTTGGAAATGAAGAACACGAATAGATATACAAAAGTTAAAAGAGCAGTATTCACAAGCCATAAATCTTTCAGTATCACAACAAAGTGCAGGCTACATAAAAAATAAAAATGCGGTCTACTAAACACTACGAACGTTACTCAACTACTAACTAGACACTACGAGGTTAGTGTTGAATAAAACATATCGTTAGGAACAATGTTGACCACCGAGGCTGGCAAACCGTTCCAATCCCGTACTGTTTTAGGAAAAAATGAGTTGATAAAGGGCGTCATTTCTACAGCGGATTTCCTTAACCTTATAGACATCGTTGCGATATGTAATCTGGCGGGTGAGGGTAGGCATTTCTCTCTATCCCAGTCCTACGATAAAATGTGTTATGAAAAAATTTCAATCGGAGGCTCTTCCCTCTAAAGCTTAACTCCTTCCATCCCAGGCTCTGTTTCGCACGAGTCATACTAAGTCGCCTGTTGTAATTGTTTAAAACAAAACGGGCAGCCCGGTTTTGTACTTTTTCAAGTTTGATTATCTGGACAGCAGTGTGAGGATCCCATATAGTGCAGGCATATTGTAAAATTGAGCGGACATGCGAAAAATAAAGTCTCTCTTTCAAGGAATGTGGTACAGGCTTAAAATTACGAGCGAGAAGGCCAAGCATTCTCGAGGAGACAGTATAGTCAATGTGCTTATTCCAACTTAGGGTCGAGGTTAGGAATACACCAAGATATTTGTATTCGTAGGCAACAGTGAGTGGCTCGTCATTAATGGTATAAGTACTGAGGGACGGAACACGCCGTCCCGTAAATGGGATGTGGACAGTTTTCTTAAAATTAATATTCATTTCCCACTTTTTGCACCAATCGGTAATTGCATTTATGTCTGCCTGTAGAATGTCGACGTCATCACTCGCTCGTATTTTTCGATAAACAACACAATCGTCTGCAAAGAGACGCATTGGTGATGACACAACACCCACGATATCATTCAAGTACAGCATAAACAACAGCGGCCCAAGGACGGACCCTTGCGGGACTCCTGATGTCACGTCAGCAAATTCGGACTGGCAATGTAAGATTTGTTCAAGAAGCCAAGTTTGGCCTTTTATTTCGCTTTAAATATATGCTCATATAAGATATCTTTAACAAAGCCTGGCAGCGTGCATTAAACATGAAAATTTTGACGGTGTAGAAAGCTCCATTATTTATTCCTGCGGCCTTCAAAGTTGCATCATGCGCAGTTGGGAAAATCATTGTTTCAACCTTCTTTCGAATGCTCTCGCAAATACGAGGAAGTATCTTGCAAAAAAAGGTCTGTCCCGTTGCACGGACAGGTTTCGTTACCTCGTGTAAAAATTCGATCGAAAAATAAAATAGGCATGACACCACTGTGACCGTCCTTATCTGAACACACCCTGTCCCAAATGTGGCTACAAAGGCTCTCGACGGGTAGCTGCATTGACGAGCTTCAAGTGGGCTGCAGTTTCTGTTCTAGGGAGGGCGGTGGGAATTTAGCTAGTACGTACGCAGACCGGCAACACTGTATAGGACTGCCATTGACCCGACGTATCTGTATCGTGTCATCAGCCAGAGAGCCCGAATGCCTTCTTTTCGCAATACGTGTGCCAGTGCTTCGCTGGTGCCTTTTGCGTAAGGGACACTGATGCGCGCGATAAGACGGTGCTGCCTTGCTCCTGATGACCTCTGGTCTTGGCGGGCGCGACTTTGGCGACGGCCGACACGCTCAACAAAAACTCTGGACAGCTACTGCCATCTATGAGCGACGGTGGCAACCAGACAAATGGCTTGCTGGCCTCGGTCATAGATGGCAGCAACCTTTCCAGCCTTTGAATTTCTCTAAGCATCGTCCTAGATGTCGTCCTCGAAGTGGTCCTAGAAGTCGTCCTTGAGGTCGTCCTAGGTGTCGTCCTTGAGGTCCTCCTAAACGTTGTCCTTGAGGTCGTCCTAGACGTCGTCCGAGGTGTCGTCCCTGAGGTCGTACTCGAGGTCGTACATGAGATTGTCCTAGACGTCGTCCTAGACGTTGTCCTCTAGGCGTCAATCTTGAGGTCGTCCAAGACGTCGTCCTTGAGGTCGTCCCACCATAGCACAGCTTCGCTGGTCTTTCTTCTTCACCAGAGTGGAAAGGCTGAAAGTTTTTTCGAAGGTCAGCAATGATGACCTGCTTCTTCTTTCTTCTACCAGTTTCAGACGAGCAAATTCATTGCCCTGGGGAACAGTGTCGACACTACTGACGCCTTGTGGCTCAGCGGGTGGTTTGATTTGACGTGAAAAAAGCGCCCTGTGTGCGTTTTTTTTTTTTTCGTTTTTTTAATTTACCAATTTAATTAATTTTAGGTAAACTCACGAAAGCTTAGTTTGAAACTATGCAATTCAATCTCCATCCATGAAATTCAAATAGTTTCAAATAGGTCAAACTTAAAATCGAAACTTTCAAATTTTTCGAACTTGTACCTAAACAGCCTTTCCACGCTGGTGAAGAAGAAAGGGCAGCGGAGGTTTCTTTTCTCGAAGGTGGCTTTCCGGGCGAGCGATCTGCTCTTCTTTCCCAAGGGAATCTGAAGCGCTCGATGCACGCGGCGGTTGCGGACCCATTCGCGCTGCTGCTGCGTACGTCGCCGCTCCTTCCGTACTTGGTCTTTTTTCCCTCAAGAAAGGGCACGCGGCTGACACTGATAAGAGCGTAGGAAAGAGCGCGCAAAACAGACGAGGACGAAGAAGAAACACACGTGACGTGCGCTGCGCTCGTCACGTGCATTTCTTCTGCGTCCTTGTCTGTTTTTCGAGCTGTCTCCTACGATGAATTCCCACCAACTCACCCAACTATCCATTCTTCTATGATAGTAGCTGGAAAGGTTGCCGCCATCTATGAGCGACGGCGGCAACCAGACTGGTTGTCGCTGTCGCTCATAGATGGCGGGTAGGTTTGTGTCGACATATCTGCGGTACCGGACACGATCCTGGGGAACCTAGCCCTTAGTAGCTGTAAAAAAAAACAAAAAAACTTCGAAGTTTTTGAGCTTAATTCTTAAATAAATTTGAAATGTTCGAATTTTTTTAATGATCTGTAAAAAAAATTTGAAATATTTGAACTCAGATTTAAGAAACTTTGACATTTTCGAATTATACGAATTCAAACCTAGCGAGGTTGTTAATTTGCAGACTTTTTAAACTCAAACACTAGCAAGGTTCGAAATTCTCGAAACCTTTTGACTTTGAGCTTTGGGAGGTTTGTGGCATCCCTACTTTTGTTATTTTTCCGACTTTGTTTCTTTATCCGAACAAACTTTTTTGTTTTAACAAAACAAAGTTTAATTCTGTTACCTCCATCATTTTTCTTTCGCATGCATGTACTCTGACTTTAGGGTTGTGCAAATCGGGGAGGAAATGCGTAAACACAGAGAAGTGTCTTTCCCTTTTTTTTTTTACTTTGTCACAGATGTCCTCCAACTGCTAGATCTTCTGTGGCTGTGTCATTTGGGGAGGATGAATGTTCGTGGATCGCAGAGTCTGCGTTGGGGTACATGTAGGGCTGGGCAATGATTCTGTGTTTTTTTTAAAATCGGTATTCGGCCAAAGAGTGGGGTGGGCGGTGATTCGGGATATTACGGTATTTATATTTAAGTTAAAAGAAATATTTTTTTTCCCAGTTTTCAATAGATGTACTCTTAAAGGGGCCCTGCAATCATATTTAAGCGTCTACCTTTTATGCGGTTTCCACGTCTCTTGGGGTTTAGGCAAGCCAGCGGGCACGGAGAGAGTTACTAAATATCAGTGCGCCATATTTTAACTGGACGACACGGAAACCTCCTCCACCGACGAGGGCGACCCGCGGTACCGAAAGCGCGCAAAATGTGACGTCTTTTGTCCTGGGCTTACTACTGGTCAGAGCCGCTAAAAACTTCTTTTTGGTCGAAATACAAAATATAAGTGGGGCGAACCGTTTCAATTATTTTTAAAAGTAGTTTTTGTTCACTATTATACATGAAAAACAGAAAGAAATGCAGTTTATAAAGTATGTAAACAAGAAATGACCCGTCGACATACCCGCCGCCAAGCGGTGGAAAAGGCGGCGCATACTAGAAAGGAGTAGTGGGATAAGGCGCCGACACGGAAAAATTCCGGATGTACGCGGTGGCGCTGCAGCCGTATGGACAGGAGGATCCGACCGGCTCCGAGCGTTCCGAAGGCCTTCGGCGAGAGGCTTTGTCTCGCGGTTTGGCTGTTTGGCGGTATGGCAGCGCGAAGTGGCTCCCATTCTGAACTGATCTTTACCCCGTGTTTACTGTCGTTTGTGGCCAATGAAGTGTCATGCCGAATTAGTGTTTAATCGCGCAGCAAATGCAATGAAAGCCGCTTTGGCTGCCCGCTGCATACAGCCTACCCAGAACATGCTTTAGTGTCGCCCTCTGGCGCCGTCGACACGGAGTGCGGCGGCCGTGAGCGCTCGATGAGCTCACTATTCCTCCTCTAGTTCACAGCCACTCAAGCCAGGACCTATGACGTCATGAAGGAGGTTATTTTTTGCTTGTTTTTGTAATTCTAAATTGCCTATAACTTTTAAAATAAAGCGAATTTCGCGAAAAGCAAAATTTTACTAAGTTACTACGGTCAGTGCGCTCAGGTTCGGTGCAAATTAAAAAAACAGTAAAAAGTCCTTGCAGGGCCCCTTTAATGTATTGCAATTACCTACTGCCGCAAAAGAGGTTTATAGACAGACTTACTTTACGTCCAGTTGGAAGCATATTCCGAAGTTGGATAGGCTCACGGACCTGTCGGCTGTCCTTGTACCGCTTGGGGGGTACGGATGAATGCTGCTCAAAAGGCGCGAGGCTGTGGCCAGAGCGGCAGTGTAGAGGGCGCGACCCCAACTTCCGGACGTGTTGCGTTGGCTGCAGCCCTCCTGCTGTCCGGACTGAAGGCCCAGGGACTGCCCTACTCGCCGTACAGCGTGCGCAGGGCCATGGAGAACACGGCTCTCAAGGTTGCCAGCTGGGACCCCTTCAGCATGGGCTACGGCCTGCTGCAGGTGTGCGCTTCAAACGCGAAAGCTTTAACTGTCCCGTGGAGCGAACCGACGACAGCTTTTGAAGCCGCGCCAGACGGCACCTTCCCCTGTCCCAGTGGAGCGAAGCTTGTCGTCTGTAGCAGAAATCTGCTGAATAGGCTCCCATTGGCTGGCGCGCGTCATAGTTTCCGAGGACGAAGCTCTCAATAGCTCTCGCGCGGCGTAGTTCCAGGGAACGTCACCGGAGAAGCCCTCTCCATGGCGGCGCAGCGCATGCAGCGTCCCGGCCGCCGGTAAGAGGTGCGGGCCTGGCCGCAGGGCCCGCCCGGGCAGACTCCGGAGAGGCTGCACGGCCGAGCTCAGCGCAGCGCTACCACTTTACGAGAGCGCGCGCTCGGCCGTCGGCTGCAATTTCGGCAGTGGCAAAACGTGGCCGTCTATGCCAGTACGCCGCAGACAAACTAAGAAAGCGAAAGAACGACATTCATGCTTTTGCATTCACAACTCATAAGAAGTGCTCAGGTGTCTGTGAAGGGGTGTCCAAACAGGACACTACAAAACGCACGACTCCGACAAATCGTAAAAATTGAAGCGGACGCGCCCGCTTCGCGCCCGCTTCAATTTTTACGATCTGTCGGAATCGTGCGTTTTGTAGTGTCCTGTTTGGATACCCCTTGATGATCGGCATCTAACAAGATTTTTTGGATCGTCTTCGCGCGACCGACGAGTTGTTGCAAGTTGCCTTTGACTAATCTAGGGAAACAATTAATCTTCCGCTTTTTTTTAATGAAAATCAAATGTGGAGTTGCATTGTATGTATGTATTTAAAGAAGTGTCAAATGTCGCAATGTTTTTAAGTCGCACGAAATAAGTGTTTTTGATGTTTCCGTTGCTTTCTGTCTTGCTCGTTGACAGAGAGTAGTTACTGTACAGCACAAACTCGACGTATAGGAAATAAAATAAAAAAGGGTGGAATGAACCTAAATAATAACCTCGGCCACAACTCGACCTGGCTCTAGTAATTCAGAGCTCGAAGGATTTCTTTAGGGTGGGAGAGACTGGCAGCTCCCAGGGGCAGCGTAGTTTGTAGGTTTACGAACGTCTGGAGTAACTCCCCTTTGCCTCGGCAGAGGACGATCTCGGCACTGCTCCAATAAACTGACGGAGAAGCCCTCGTAAACAGTGGCGCACATACTGAGGAGTGTGTGGCTCATAGTTACGCTCCACTGGGTGGCACTGTAGTCCCTTTCACCTTACGTTTGGTCACGGCGGACGCTACCAGCCATCGGAGACAACCCAAGACCGTGCAAGTTTCCCTCGACCTTCGAGAGGAAATTGTAAATAGCGTAGTCGCACGCTACATTCACAGAGCTGGGACTTCTCGTAGCATCCGCTGCGGCCAGACTTGGGGTGAAATGGAGTATAGGAGCTTCCTCAGAGGGACCCCACCCAGGGACCACTTTATGCGGTAAACGCGCGAGTTGGAGACCCGCTGAGGGCACCGAGGAGTGTGCGGAAGACGCTAACGGTGAGTGAGTGTGCAGGTGGACAAGGCCTTTGAGCACCTCCTGGAGCATGGGGACTGCCCCGAGCGGGACGTGCGCTTCCGGGTGAACTGCGGGGTCCACAGGCGGGGCATCTACCTGCGGGAACCGCACGTCGTGGACAAGCCCTCCATGTGCAGCGTCTGCATAGAGCCCCTGCTGCTCAACGAACAGCTCGCAGGCACGTGCACCCCGACGCTCCTGGACGACACTGGGACGTCGACGGTCCTTTACGAGGCAATTCTGCGCTGGTGCAGCGTTACCCAAGACGTGCTTAGAAAAGTCGTCGTCACTGTCGACGGTACAAATTTGGCGAGGTGGCACGGAGGCAGTCGTGTTGCCAAACTTCCGGGCGGTGCAGATTGCCATATTGGGTCACAGCGCTAGGTGCAACTTGCAATGTATTCAAGTGCTACTTCAAGGAGGTTTAGAAAACTCTTATTTGCTGGAAGTACATTTTCTGAGTATGTGCGGATTTCTTCTGCTAGTTTCCGAGGGAGGTGCAACTCGCGACTGCAAAGTAGGTTCCCCAAATTCTGTCTTGTCAAATTGGTACCACACAATGGTGCTTTTTCAACTCTGAAGAAATTCTGGGAGGGATATTCTACTCTCACCAGAAACGCAAGCAGACGACGCGTCACTTTGTTTGTATCGGGGGCGGCTTTTCTGCAGCATTTCAAACTCTCTACTTTTTGCTCGGTCCACCCGGGCGAGGAGGTGAAAAATATTGGGAGAGGACTCTCCTTCACGAGAGGGTTGCCAGAAGCTACGGTGTGAAATCGTGCTCTTCATCGTGAAACACGGTGTCAAAAAGTACATCGTATTTTTTAGTACTTTAAGTACATTGCCTCCGGTGTACTTACTACTTTACTTGAAGTACATATATCCCCTATTTTTACTTTGTACTCTACATCGAGAACTTTTGAGATGTACTTTGGTCGGCACTCTCCGTGCCGCGGTCCGTGGAACGCCGTGCTGTACGACACGATTATAGTACATAGTGGCGTTTCCTGCACTTCACTCAACTGGTGAAAAATTGTCCGGCACACCTTGTGAATCGGTCTGGCAGGCTCAGTCGGTTGAAGGGGTGTTCTTTGACTTTCCGCTCGTCCAGGTTATAAAGCAGTTTGAGAGCGGGTTAGCGGCGTGTCTGTGCAGTAGAACAGACCGGGGCTGAGCCAGTATCGTTCTCTTCGCGGTCACTCATCAGTGTCCGCAAGAATGTGTAGAACGACGCGGGCGCCGTGCAGTCGGTCGTCTCCGACAATGAGACTGTTTTTTTTCCGAATGCGCGGTGCAGCTGCGCAGTGCAAGATTGGCTACGAGCAGAACCTGAGCCTGGTGTGCAGCGCCAGCTGGGTGTCGGCACCGGCCCTGCTTAGCCTGAGCTACGTGGCACGCACCATCTGGGTCAAGGTGGACCCGACGGGATTGCCTCCCGGCGCACACTACGCCGCCGTGAGTGGGCCCCTCTTTCCACGCGGGTTGTGCACACATTCCGAATACAGAAGGCTGGTTTACACACTCGCTTACGACCAGAAAACACACTGGCACCATCCAGGTACAACACTGGGTGGCATTGCACTCGGGGGTTTTACGCTCTACTAGAATTGGACAGCATCCAGCATTTCTGACCTTGTTTGTACTAAACAATTCGCTACATGTACTTTGTAAGTAGCTCACATCTCTGGCTGTGTACTATGCACTCTGGCACAGCTATGTGAGCTACTTGTATAGTGCATGCGGTGAATTTTTTAGTACAAATACCATCAGAAATGCTGGATGCTGTCCAATTCTAGTAGAGCATAACACCCCGAGTGCAATGCCACCCACTTTGGGTAGTCGCGTCGTATCGACGATAAACCAACGAGTTTGCACGAGCCTCCAGGTTTGCAGAATGACCGAGGCCTGCGCACGCTTTCAGGTCCAGGCCATAGACGTGAGCAGTCCACAGAAGGGTGCCGTCTTTGACATCCCCATCACGGTGGTGAAGCCCAGGCGGTGAGTGGGGCCTGCCAAGAGCCAGCCGGGGCTGCCGGCATAGCAACCGGTCCGCAGATGGGACACGAGGAGGGACCAGCACAAAGCTCCCCAGAGTCGCCAACAGAGGGGCACTTCTTTCAAATACCCTCCAGCACGCGTCCTTTGCCTTTGGCCCTGATTTGGCTGCGTTTGCGTGCTTGGAGCTCACGAGAAGCCTTATCGAAGGTAGCAGCCTCGTACTAGAGGTGGAACAACCGAAAGATCTACAGAAATAGGGGTTATGGCGCAGGCTAGCTGGTGAACATTCACACTTAAAAAACCCTGAGGAAGGGTTTCTATGAAAGAGCTCCCTGCATGTTTCGTCTACGACTCTAGTCGTGCTCGATTTCATGTCGTAGTTTGCGTCGCTTCCCCGTGCGTCATTCTATGTCCCGTCGTAACGAAGCGGTGTGCGGGTGTCAACGTCTACTAGAGCGTTTTCGCGGTTGCAGGCTGACGGACCGGGACGGCTACGAGTTGCGTGCCAAGGGCGTGACCCTAAAGCCGGGCGTGATGCAGCGGGAGTTTGTGGTGGTACCCACGGGGGCCACCTGGGCCAGTGAGTTCCTCCCCTTCCGGTCTCCAGGATGCGTCTTGGGAGAGCCCTTTCCGACGGCCGCGCTCGCGCGTGCGCAGGCCTGCAGGTCAAGTCCGCGGATCCGCAGAACGTGGCCCATGTGGTGGTGCACGCGGTGCAGCTGAAGCAGCAGTTGTCCTGCCAGGCCTCGGAGTTCCAGAAGACCTTTCCCCTGGCACCGGCCTCTGAGGCGTCCTTCGCCTTCTCGGTCTTTGTGAGTTTCCCGCGATGCCGGATTTGTCCAAAAAATGCCGAGATTCTCGGGCGGCGTTCTGTGTCCCCTGCGAAGCACGCCCGGAACGCACCTCTTAGATGAAAAGGGAGGCATCCCTTTCAAGTATGGTGCCTGCAACGCGTCTAGAACCGTTGCATGCATTTTTCCGGAACGTGTACACCCAACGGCCTGGATGATCCGACGGCACAACATTTGGGCTTTTGCGACGTCGTGGGTTGTCATTCTGGGCCAGTTTGGATGTGTGGGTAGAACTAAAGACAGCAGCCCGAGGCAGCGTCCTCTGAAGATGGCCCCTTGAGCGCTTTCTGGTCCCCCAGGACGACTCGACCCTGGAGCTGTGCCTGTCCAAGTGGTGGACCAACCTGGGCGACGTGGTGGTGGACTACAGCCTCTCCTTCTTCGGCCTGAAGCCCGAGCAGCCCTGCCTGAGCATGGTGAGTTCCCACCCACTGCCCCCACCCCCTTCTCACACATTCGCTGGAACATGCCAGAGTTTCTTGGAGGAAGGATGCTAGTAATGCGTAATGGGTTTCCTGGGAAAATTGTCTTACAAGCATTGCAATGACCGTCACGAACGAGAGACACGCTGGGAGCATTACGGACGTTTGTATATAAAGCTTGAGCCTCCCTGGGGTTCGAACCTGGGTCGTTATGGTGGCAGTCGGATACTATGGTCACCGAGCAACTAGTGCAGCTGGTCTCGAAGGGTAAATGATCTTATTTTAATGCAAACGTACCAGTGACAGCGGCGGGATTGGGGGTGTAAATAATAAATAAATCGGTAAAATATATGGAAAAATAAAAGGATAAAAATATGAATTAAAAATATACAAATAAAATAGTAACCAAATAAAATAATAAAGTAAAAATAAAAGAATATAGATAGTAAAAGGAGTAAAAACTCTCTAGTCAACCTACAGAGGAGAGTGAGGGGGGAAAAGGGTGGAAACTAGAAAGTGGAGAGGAGCAAACTCTTTTCCACAACAGCTTTTCTCGCCCTTTTCCCCCTCGCTCTGTCTTTTTTTAGGTTGTATCTGACTGTAGCAGAAACCCTATGGAGTCTGGTTGGTGCGGGACATATTCTCTGCTCCCTGGTCTTTGGCAGTGGGATCGAGTTTTTTCAACATCTTGAACGCCCGAGACTCGGGAACAAAAATGGTTCTACACTTGAGACCTCTATTTGTCTTTAGCATAAAACCTGCGTATGTGTTGATTTGGTTCCCATGGTGTTGGGTGTTCAAGATGGTAAAAGTTCACCGGCATGTTCTCCGTCATTTCTATCATTTTACAGTCTAAGCACATTACAACAGACCCGGTTACCACAGACATTTGGATATAACATACCGATTTGTGAAGTGCGGTTGGTTTTCTTCTACATGCCGTATTTACCCGCACAATGAACGCACTCGCGTAATGAACGCACCCCCAAGTCGGCTCTCAAAATTTCGACTTTTTTTTTCACTCGCGTAATAAACGCACCCCCAACTCAGACGTCAAAATTTTGACCCCCCTCCCCCCACGCGCGCAAATGAACGCACTTTTCTATCCTGGTGCAGCGAGGTCGCGAATGCATCGGCAGCGTGGGCGAACAAAACGCCTTGCAAAAGGCGTTAAAAAAATTCGCAAAGATCCAACGGAAGCAAGAAAAAAAAAAAAAAAAACGTGGAGAGGAGCTTTTTTTTTGCACAGCGCAGTCTGGACTTTGGGTTCGCGCGCCGCCGCCCGCAAGGAGGTAAGAAAGAGGGGCGGAGAAGCGCTCTAAGCGAACAAAACAGCTTGCAAAAGGCGGCAAAAAAAAAAAAAAAAAAAAAAAAAAACACCAACCAACCACGGAACTAAGAAAAAAACAAAAACAAAGAGCTTTTTTGCACAGCGCAGTTCGGTTACCGGGGGTCGCGCGCCGCGCCCAAGGAGGTAAGAAAGAGGAGCGGAGAAGCCCTCTAAGCAAACGAAACAGCTTGCGAAAGGCGGCAAAAAGAAGAAAAAAGAAAAAAAAAACCCACGGAACTGAGAAAACAAAACAAGAAAAAGAGGAACTTTTTTTTCTTTTTTTGCACAGCGCAGTTTGGTTACGGGGGGGGGGGGGGGGGGGGGGGGGAGGGGGGGGGGGGGGGGTGGTCGTCGTCGTGCGCCGCGCGCAAGGAGATAAGAAAGATAAGCGGAGAGCCCTCGCCTAAGCAACGCCTAAGCAAACAAAACAGCTCGCAAAAGGCGGCAAAAAAAAAGAAAGAAAACGAAGGAACTAAGCCGCGCGCAAAGAGATAAGAAGTTACTTGGATTTTTTCAGGATAAAAGGTCGGTTAATTATGCGAGTAAATACGGACGCAAAACTTTTACTTCGCGTAATGAACGCCCCTCCCCCCCCCCCCACCCCCCCCCCCCAACTTTGCATCGATTTTTCGGAAAAAAAAAGTGCGTTCATTCTGCAAGTAAATACGGTACCACTGACTCAACTTTGTATCTGCATACAACATACTGCTTTTACAAGACCGTAATCTTGGTCAAAATCAAGGTCTGTTATAAGGAGCTTAGACTGTATTATTGTTGAGAAACTTGTTCTTATAATTGGAGTTTTCAAAATATTTAATTTGATGAGATTTGTTTATTTGCATCAGGTACTAAGTATACTTGATACTAGAGGCAGGTGGAAAAAGTTGTCGCCAGGACAGCTAGCTCCCATATTGACGTTCGTGTAGCACAAGCAAAATCTACGCGCAGTTGAAGAAAAAAACTTAGAAATAGCGTTAGTGAAAAAATAGAAGAAAAAAAGATATTTGTTTATAGTATAAAGGGGCGGTGCAACGATATGCAATTGGAATGTTTTTCACTTTACACGAGCTTGCTGGCACTAGCGGGACCCAAGGTTACTCGCACGCAACGCCACTAACCAAGAAACTCCTTTGTTGCGCTGTAATTTCGAGGACAAAACCGAGCGTTTTCATTCAATCTCTCCTTCGCAAAACCTGATGACGTAGCTGGGCGGTAGCAGTACCGCGCAGTGACGATATTTGAATACGGCTCATAGATTGGACCCGAGCATTGCGTGTGGGCATTCGATTTGGGCTCGTGATAATCGATAGCTCGAGAAACATTCGGGTAGTGTCCTGTGTCCAATCGCTGCAATGACGACAAAAGCCGAGCAATAACAATGTCTGGAACTCAGCGCGTGTCCTGTGCTTTGCCAACCCCAGCGCGTGGCAATGATCAACATTGGCGGCATATAATCGGCTCCAGATCACGTGGCCGCTCGTTCTGGTTGCAAGTTGAGGGGGTGAACTCTGCTCATTTTTCTTTATTTTTTCCCGCTACTTCGATCGCGTGTGTTGAAAAACGAACGCGTATTTCGCAGGTCATTAACGTCGGGGATCCGTTCTAAGCGGTGTTTGCGCAAAATACAAAAATTGCTGCATCGCCCCTTTAAATTGCATGGAACCTCTTTTTTTTTTTCATTGTCTTTCGGACTAGTCAGATCAGAATGTAATATGTAACTCAGGTTGAAGGCATAATGTCGCGGTACTCTTTCAAGCTGCGACGATTCTTCCTTTTGCAAGTCGTAGCGTATTGCTCCATTTGACGAGAATCTGGTGGCGTGCAGCGTGCCTCGGACGGCGTGTACCGCTTCGACGTGATGTCGCACCTCAAGTCGGAAGAGGTGCTTCCGGTGGCCACCCTCAAGCACCACGTGGCGGTGCTCAGGCAAGTAGCCCTAGGCTCGGGAACAACACCGCCACCTTATAGTGTTACGTATAGACTCTCTGGCCCCGCCCCCTCGCGGAACAGACCGAACCGACTTTCCCGACGGGCCCAGTTGGCGGAACGGACTGTCGGTTTTGCATTTCCTTCCGCTGTAGTTTGGCGGGAAAGTCGGAAAAGCCCGACGGAACATGGACAAAAGTGCAGCTGGCACCGCTATTGGGGACGAATTTACGTAGGACTGTACCAGCTCCCCAAATACCCGGGATTGAGTCTTTTTATATTTAACGCGACGTTTGGTAAAATGTTTGGTATTTTAGAAGTTAGAACTGCCTTTTTTGTAGACTAGAAAGCCAGCGCTCCAAACATGAATGACCCATGGGTCAACAACGGGTCCACATTTGTACCTCGTGGTGGTGTTCTAGGATTAGGTTAAGTGACAATTGGCTCTGGCGGCCCACCGGCCGGGACTCTAGAAACGGCCGAGGCCTCTTGGAGCGCGATTGTGCGTGGGCCCTGGGAGTGACGCCCAGGTGGTCTGCACTGCAGGCCAGCAGACTCCAAGATCCAGCCCCTCGGATCCCGCGACGTCATACCGGAGGGTCGCCCCGTTTACGAGATCCAGCTCACCTACAACTTCAGCATTGTAAGGCGACATCCTGCTCTTCTGGGCCACAGCATTGCCACCGCCTTGGGTCCGGTTTAGAATGCAGCTGTTCTCTGCCCTCGGCCAATGCTCGTGGCAATTCTGGAAGTTTGTACTTGGGAGCATTTGCACGTCCCCCGGGCTTTTGAAGGGGAGACCCTGGTTTAGAACATATTTTGTCATCTCCGGTCTAATTTATATTAAATTTTCGCATCTACTATAACTTCTTGTGCCAAGTACAAACATAAGCAAAATCTTTCCTATACAGAGGCGGACTAGAAGTTTGCCGCCTTAGGTTTTGGGGAAGTGGAAGGAGCTAAGTTTGGAGTTCAAAGTTTCAAAAGCTACAGCTTTAAAGCTAAAATTCCCGAAGTAACTAGATTAAAAAAAGAAAAATAATTTAGGGGCGGCTACAGATGAGCCGCCCCCAAAATTACGTCGCCCTAGGCAGCCGCCTCCTCTGCCGATTGGCGAGTCTCCCCTGTGCCTATATATTAGAGTTTCCAAGCTTTTTATGTCAGCATGTTTTACAAACAGTAGAGTGTAACAAAACCATTGTTATAATTTTAGCATCATTAGAGAAAATCTTTTGACCGGTTGAAATTTTTACCCGATAATTAGGAATAAATGAGTAATTGTCGTCGAGAAAATTTTGTAGTTAACATTTTCCATTTTCGTGAAAAAAGTATTCATGTCCAAGTTTTAGATCCAAAGATGCTTTGGGCAAAACGTTCTGTTGGGACAAGAAAATGGATTCTGAGAAAACAGGAAAAGCTTTTGAAAGCTTACAAACAACCTAGATACGAAAGTTTGATTGAATGTAGCTCTAGAAACGTGCACTTCCCGAGTGTAGTATACTTACAATACATGTTGCTCGTGACTTATAAATAAAAAAAGTAAGAAACGACAACTTTTTTGTAAATTTTGTGTTTGGAGACCAGGGTCTCCTCTTAATTGTATGCCGGCATTGCGTGCATTTGTCCCAATTATCTGTTTTCTTTTATGCTGAGTCCATGGAAGAACTTTAGGCCATGGAGACTAGTGGCACATGTGATTTTGTTTGGAGGCATATACTACGATTATCAGCTGGTCCTTGGTGGAAGCTTCTGAGGGCACGTTCACGCTTTTGCGTTGGCGCACTATCCAGTTCTTGGGATATTTTACGACGAGAAAAGACACTGGCGCCATCTAGGAGGTCGCCCAGGAACTGCATTTCATTAGAGGAAAGGTGTTGCGGGCAAGAGCATTTTTAACAGCAACATCGTTAAATGATTTCTGAGAAAGCCAAATAGATGCAGAACTGTTGCACGATACGCGTTCTTCCGTCGTAAGAGATCCCAAGAGGCTTTCAGGTCGTCGGCAGTGTGTCTGACCCAGGGGAGGGCAACAGGGGAAACTTTTCAAGGCTCAATAGGAAAGAAGTTTACAGAGGGGGAGTTATGGGGCAGAATGCAGGGCACAATTTCATCTGTGTACATGAATTGGGAAAGAAGTTGTTCTCTTTTTTATCAGGAACACACCGACATTGTTAAAGAGCCCCTGAAAAGAAAGAAAAGTGTTTTTTTAAACAGTCTGGTTGGGACGCACGTGTCAAAAAATTAAATTTACGCGAAAACAAATTTTCTTAGAGCAATATTGACGGCGTGAGACACGATTTGGTCGGTAGTCGGCTCCTTTCCACTTTTCTCTCTGAGCATTCCGGGTGCCTGGAGGAGAAGTGGCCTTTCTACTGAGCTGGAAAGAGGGAACGACCTTTCCGTGACGTCACGGACTTTGCACCCAGAATTTGAAATCTCTGGCCGTCAATATTACTCTAAAAATTTTATTTTTTTTTTGTGCAAAATTTATTTTTTGACACGCGTGTCCCAACCAGACTGTTTAAAGAAAAACCCTTTTTTTTTTCTTTTCAGGGTTTTTTTAAGGAAAACTATTCTTAAAAAACCAATGTGATACCCAACATTTTTCTTCACTAGATACAAAGCAGAATCCCCGAAGAATGCAACTGTGAAAACAGAATTCGCAAAAAGTAATTTATATTCTACACTCGCATCGCGTCGAAAAATCTAATAAAAGTTTTGCCTTTTATGTCATCGACAAGATCTTAACATCTTTTATAAAAAGACGTCCACAAAGTAAAAAGAACAATGCCACAGTTGCATTTCCAATTAAATTCGAGTTGGGAAAACATTGATAGGTTTCCTAAAATGAAATTTATGCCAGAAAGCGGAAAACGGAGAAAAACACATTCCAAGTGCTCGAACTTCTAGCTTTTCTATAGCGTAGCTAAATTGAAAATAATTTATAAAAATTTATTTATGCAGTGTAAACGAATGAAACTTTCTGGGAATACTTTCAAGATGGCGGTGGATGTAAAAATGGCATTTTTCCAGATGAACTCTTTTTGCAGAAATTTATTTTTCCTGGGTAGAATTCCCCCTTAAGACTTTGTGCCACCGCTCGTTCCTTTGCTTGGTTTGGTTGTGTGCCCCAGCTGTGTGTAGGTTTGAAGAGGGATCTCGTCCCGCAGAACAAGGGGGCGGAAGTGACGCCCAGCTGCCCGCTGCTCTCGGAGCTGCTGTACGAGTCGGAGTACGAGGCCCAGCTGTGGATGATCTTTGACGCCAACAAACAGCTGGTCGCTTCGGGAGACGCCTACCCCAACAGGGTGCGTGTACCGTCTCCCTCGGCAAAGGTTGAATCACTTGAAGGTTCCGAGAAGGATTCCACGGGGGTTTTCTTTGTTCTCGAAGATCTGCCTCCAACGGGGAAGCCCTCCTGATCTCGGCATTGGTGCGACGCACTTCAGACCTTGTAAACAATAGGGCACATGGTCAGGAGTCAATACGTGCTGAAATACTCGACTGGAAGAACACTGTACTTAGGGGACGGTTTAGGGAGAGCGTGGGGAGGCCGGGGGGAACATTCCCAGGAAACCGGTTTGAGAACCCATGGCGCAGACTTTGTGAAAGAGCCTTTCTCGCTCGGTGGGCGTCGTCTCTCTGCTGTTGCGAGGGTGCCAAACGGGGGCGGTTGGGGCCTTGCAGTACTCGACCAAGCTGGAGAAGGGGGAGTACGTGGTGCGGCTGCAGGTGCGCCACGAGCAGCGGCCCCTGCTGGAGCGGCTGTCGGACCTCCCGCTGCACCTGTCCCAGAAGATGGCGAGCGGGCTGGCCCTGGACGTGTACCGGGGCCACGCCCAGGCCCTGGTCGGGGGCAAGAAGTTTGCCGGGGTCACGGCGCGCCCGGGCTCCCGCCTGCCCGTCTTCCTCACCCCCTGCCCCTGTGACAAGTGAGATGCTTTAGTATGCGCCTCCGCTTTTGGGAAGGTCTGCTCCTTGGAGCAGATCTTTAATTTATGTGCTTTGTTTATTAAAGCGTTTGCTTTAGTACCCACATGACAGGCAAAAGCTGGCGGCATCCGTCTGTGACAGAACAGTGGGAAGGGAAGTGTGAGGGTAGCGATGTGGGTTAGTTGGTTCATACTGACAGAAGGGAAGTGTAAGGACGAGGGGAGTAGTGCCAAGAGGGAGGCTACGTCCCAGGGCGAAAGCCAATGCGGGTGCTGGGGCAAGTCTGAACTTGCAGGTGTGCGGAGCCTTGGTTTGTGCAACAAAATGGAGTGCGAACCAAGTACTAGCACTGGTCCAAGTAGGTGGCAAAAAAATTAAAGGAAGATCCATCGCGGGGTCCTTAGGGATTGGCGTTCGCTTGACCCTCGGAAAACGCCACACACGTCGCCCTCTGGGAAATGCTAACACTGATTCCGTAGGGATAACAAAAAGAGGCAGCGAGAAATAGAGGACGCAAAAGAGAAAGCCAAAAGAGAAAAAGTTGAAGGGGTCAGCATTAGCGGTTCCCAAGGGGGGCATGTGTTGCGTTTCCACGCTAAACGCATTCCCTAAGGATCCACCAATGGATCTTTGTTAGCTTTCTGTCCCGCCAGCAACCCCCGAGAGTGTGCGTCTGCAGTGAAATGTTCTCCAACAGTCCCGGCACTAACGTGTATGTGTCGTCGTGGTAATCCACCAGCAAATGGGATATTGCTGCCTTCCCTGCTGCAAGACTAATCTATTGCGCGGCACAAGAAATGCAAACCAGGCCTCACGCAACTAGGGATGGGGCGAACGTTTGTCAAAACCCGAGGTTCGACCAGTTTGGCGAACCTTTAAACTTTTAGGGGCGAAGCTTCTTAAAGTCTAACCTTGTCCTTTGTTTGTCCCTTTGATTGTAGCCTTAAGGTGCACATTAGGGCTTGTTACAAGGGGGAATGTAGGCAATGAAACAAAATCAAAACAAAGGGTTGGCTCTCGGGCATTCAAAACAGTAGCAAGTGCAGCTCTGAAGTTGGAAGATTCTCGAATGATAACAACAAGTAGTGCGGAACGAAAAGTATCTTGTCAGTATATATTATCTCGCTGTTTCTGCCGTTGTTATAAGTGGGCTTGAGTATAGTGCCCCGAAATTGTACGCCTAAAAGCTTATTTTCCGGATGACTGCGCTCATTGAGTGAGAACAAGGAGCGATACTGCACAACGTTTCAGGCTTCCTAAAGGCTGCAGTCCGGGGCACTTTCTGACAGGCACCGTGACCATCTGCAAGGACGAGCAGGGAAAGAAAGTGGTGAGTGGCACCTCGGCAGTCGGACGAGACTGCTCGGCCAGGGAGCGAGGAGCTCGAGTGTCGGGAACACAGTGTTTACGATGCACGAACGAGCAATATGTCGAACCATTTGCGTCGAAGCTCGAAATAATTTTTCCCTCTCGAAGCCTTCTCTCACTTTACGAAAGTGTAAAGGAGCTCGCATGCGGCAACATCGATGCGGGCTTTGGCTGTCGTACGTAAAAGGTTCGAGGTCCGTGTCAGAATTTCCGACGTAATTTGCGTCTTGGCGATATTCAAAATGCTGCAGGCAGCGGCCTAACCGGAGGAGGGACTTGTGCAGCCGGACTTACGTTACACGTACGCGTGACGCTCCTTCCCTCGCTCTCCGAGTCACAACAATCCAAACTATCGCCCCTTGAAAAAAAAAAATTCTTGCCTACACTACTGCCACAATCAGCAGATATACGCGAGTTTCCCCAGGATACCGCAAGAGGAGGCACGTAACTAGACGCATCATTCTGTGGTACAAGCAAGCTCGGACCTTAGGGACAGACTCCATGCAGGAGGGCAGAAAGGGACGTCTCTGCCCTCGTGCATGGAGTGCATTCCCATCGCAGAGTCTCGCATAGTTGGCCAGGCAGTAGCGCCTAGAAGACGAGGCTCGCGCATGACTGTCGGTACCCCTAGAGGCAAACACGCTGAAGCTGGACCAGAGGCAGGTCCGTTTTGGCCATGCAGCGTGCCAGTGCCTTCTTGGTGGCGCAAGGCGGCCCTGTGGCAGGCCCCTGGGGCTTCCGTGCAGGCCGTGTTCCCCCTGACGTACCACATTGGGGAGCTGCCCAAGAAGAGCTCGTCCGCCACCAAGGTGGCCAGCTCGGAGGAGAAGACGCCCGAGCTCGAGTTCCAGGAGGCCCTCCGGGACCTCAAGATTTCCTGGATCCCCAAGTGAGCCCTCCTTTGCTCCGAGTGCGCCTCTTGGAACGGGCGGCGCCACTGCCCGTTCTCTGCGTTAACTATAAACAGCCCATTTACAACGGTACTTCCTAAAGGTTCTCGTCAAACTAGAGCAAATTTAGTTGGGCTTTTTAATTTTCCGCAAATGCCACAACATATACGGGGAAAGACTAATCAAATTCACTGGTACAAAAATCTGGAACTCATTGTCAGTTGATCATCGAAACTCGGATAACTTGAACGAAGCACTTAAGCACTATCTTCTCTTTTCTCCCTGAATGATCTTTATCTCGTGGCCACTGCCTTTGTTTAGTTAATAAATTTTTTAATGAACCCACACTAGCCAATTGGCTATGGGTCCATCTGTGCTTTCAATTATTTGAATGTGCTTTCTAAAAATAAAATAAAAACTGAAAAAAAAAATATATATATTTTAGTTTTATTGTACGTGAATTTCTCCGCTAAATTTAGCGGGGAAATTCAGTTGGTGCGCGTGCCACTTCAGGTCGGGTCACGCGTGATTGGTTAAGCGGGTGGAAATTTCCCGCTAAATTTATCGGGGACATTGCATTGCCCAATGTCACGTCGGCTGTGTTCCAAAATTTACCGTATTTGCACGAATATAACGCGACCACGAATATAGCGCGAGGGCCGGTTTTGATGCCCACAAAAAGAAAAAAAAAATATTATTACTATTATACTGCGAGCCGAGGCCGCGTCAATTTCTCGCACTCGGGGGCATAGCAGAAGCGAAAAGTCAAAGGAAATAGAAGAAATATCAGTTTATGTTTTGACTGCACTCATCCTCACTGCTCAGGTCCTTCCGTTTACAATCCACTTGGCGACTACGCAGATAAGCAGCAGCACGGCACCTGCTTGTCTGGTAGTTCCCTTTTCTTCCGTGCCAGCTCCTCGGCAGCCTACAATCCAAACAAGGCACGAAGCAGAAGCACCAACACACAAACACCAGATCACTCTGCAGCAGAAACTAAACAATGCGCTGGCAGAAAAAAAGACTGCTGAACCCGATACGCGATCCAGTTCGTGTTCCGGTCCCTCTGCATAAACATATGCCTCGTGTTGCACGATTGCGTAAATGCGGTCGGTGGTTTTGGCTTGGCTTGTGTTGACTTGACTTGGCCCCGCTTGGCTTGGCTCGAATTGGCCCGTGCCCGCATGGCGCGCGCGCGCCCGCGCCGAGTTTCTGCGGCGAGCGCGCGTTGTAAAAACACAAAAGCGATAAAAATGATTTTTTTTTATGTTTTCTATTCGCCCCTTCACGTGGCCCAATAGCTAATAAATTCCCCTCCACACTCCCACTTCTTTTCCCGCCGGATCTTTTGCATTGAGCCGGAGGGATGGCTTTCTCCTCTGGCTTCCTCCCCTTCCTCCAGACTCGCGCGACTCGATTCCGAATATAACGCGAGGTGCGTTTTGGAGCACGTAATTTCGAAAAAAAAACTCGCGTTATATTCGTGCAAATACGGTACTCGATCCGACTCCGGAGTAAAAGTTTCGTACCGTGGCGTTCCAAAACTTACTCGAGCTTACTCGATGACGTCAGAACTCGCGTTCCAGAAGCGGGTTGTTCACTCCGGAGTAATTACTCGCGCTACCCTCCTCGATCGGGGGGTAAAGTCGGATCAAATCGAGTAAATACGTCACGTGATCTGTTCGTCGTCTGCTTTCTGCGCCGACAGCCGTCAAAGCTCGCTTGCTCCGTTGGTTTTGGTGGCGGACGTTCGAAATGACAAAGAATTAGGTGCAGCATGTGTGGTTATTGCGATTTGCTGTTGTCAACGCAGGAATTGACTGCATTACATCCAGACCGTCCACCTTCCCCGGGAACGTGTACTTGTTATTATCTGAGTGCGAGCGTAAACAGGAGCTTCTCCGCATCCTCGTCCTCGGCGTTGGGGGATGCCGTAATCTCACGTTCAAGGCCGAAAATGTTTGAACTCGTTATATGATAATGTAATATTTTTGTTTCCTCCAGAGTGTGTGTAATGAGAGGATAACGTTTGTAAAGCAGTGAAGGCTTCGAAAATTTCACTGTAATCACATTCGCGTCAAAGCGAACGTGAGTTTCATAATCTGGAGAAAGCACCCTCGCGCTGGACCGCTACACCGTGTGGAATATATTTCTGCAAAACATAATCGGTGCAAATTACAATGCGTGGAATATATGCGTTTAGGGCACCGTGACTAGAATTGCAGCGATCGCGCTGATTAATAAAAACCCATTTTTTCATGTCTAGCTGTAAGGAGTAAGTAATTTTGATCTCAATATACAGCTCAAAACGAAGGTGAGTAAAAGGAGCTGGTGGATCCACCTCAAAATACACCGCATCGTCATTAACATAACCGTTCTTCGGGTGCTTTCTCCATGATCAAAAGGATCGTCTGCTATTTTCTGTCATCGCTGCTGTGTTTTCTTTTTGCCGTCGCCCAAGACGAAGCCAATCCGCGTAGTATCCAGGTGATTATCCTGGCCGTTCCAAAATCGAGTCGCGGATCGTTTACTCGCGATGTCACGTGGTATTACCCGCTGACGTAGGAGGCAGGTTACTCGGGTAAGATTTGGAACATAGCCGTCATGTCATTGTATTGTGCTAGAGCACAGCTGGACGCCATGATGATTTTGCGTGTCCTCGACTCGTGCGTCATCATTTGATAACCAACACGTTTCCCACCCCCCAAAATAATTGTTTAAAGGGCAACTCCGGTCAGTGTGTTTTTTAATTTGGAATTACGACTGTATTTGGCTAAACCAGTGTCCCTGAATTACCAGGTATAATTTCCTTTTTCCGACGTTGTGCGTGTAAATATCACGGCTCTAGTTTTGTTCGGGCGTTTCCAACAAAACCGAAACCATCTGCTAGAGCCACGGGCACGTGTGTGTTAGTTCATTGTCTGTGACCAGAGAAGAGAGGATGTTCTTGCGAGGTACCACCCACAAGTAGACAGTCGAGCAGGATGCTCTAATTTAAAAATGAAGAGAAAAAAAGGAAAAAGTGAGGCGAGCTAGGTTTTGATTGATCCCAGCCTGTCGATGAAGATGAAGTGTTTCATTAAAAGCAGTTGGTAGTCCAGCGGTTGAATGTGTCTCTCTCGTCCGCCTCACATGGTTGGTTTGTTCAGCTGGTGTCTCCTAACCACCTGCTAGAGGGATGGCAACACTGATCATCAGCCATACGACAAGACGTCACAAGACGCATCTTTAAAATCTGCTTTAGTGGAGTATTCACTTTGACGTAATATTTCGGCTGTGATCATATTTTGTGCCACTAAGGCGATACCAGTCATTTCTTTTGGTTTCGTTTTTAGCCAAAGTTGCCCTTCTAAATCATTTCTCCCTAAGTACCGCATTACAGGCATTATCATACTTTGGAGATGGAGGTAACTAGCAATTTTTGTTCCATCCTGCAATGTCCTCTTACTATTGGAAGCGTTTTTAGAAAAGTATCCCTGGAAATTATTGGCAAGCTGTACAGCTAATAACAGTTGAGCTGTACAGTTGTGCAGCTCAACTGCCTGTCCCGTTTTGGAGTGCACTGATGGGGTGTGGGACCCTTCCTTGGGAACCAACATTGAGAGAAACGAGATAGTGTTTTATGTGCAAAGAATATGGAAGAAAGACTTTGATATCCAAATTAAAATACCTATCAAAGGTACCTCATCTTAAAATGTCGTGAAATCAGTCGCCTTAAACTTCCTTATAATATTGTGCACAACTCACTCGTTCATTTATTGACCCTTAAAGGCCCCATTGGGGCATTACTAAAGAGGGGGCGGGGGACAATACCGGGAGGCATGCACGTAGAGCTTTTATACACATAAAAACACCTCATCCTGCATGCCTTCTGAGGAGTACGTGCAATTTAATTTAAGCGTGGGCAAACGTGTAATAAGCACGCAAAAACTATCGCAATTCTTTACTGTAGGGCCGAATGCCTACGAATGTTTTTTTCACGCATACAGTCGATGACTGGAACAGTTGCCAGAGTGTTACAAACGCACCTACCGTGGCGTCGTTTGCAACAATGATTCGAAAACTTTTTCCACCCTGAACCCCTTCCTCGGCAACCACAAAAGGTGGCTGGCAGTACTTCTGAATAGGCGAATAAATAAAAATTGCAAGAAGGGGGATTCGGATGGTAGGCCTTTGAAGCGGTAGGAGCAAGAAGCTTCTCCCTGGAAGCGATGCAGCAGCAGCGACTAGGCTCAGACGAGTGAGGCTCGCTCTCTGGGAGAATGGGCCCAATGGGACCCCGGTAGGTAAGGGGCTAGGCACCGACCAGTGCCCAAGCTTCGGGGGCCAAGGCTTTGCAGACACGGTTTCGCTCTGGCCAGAACGTTGGATCGGAGCGAACGCTCGTAGAATGCCGCTCGGCACGTTTCCGACTGCTTACCACCGTCTGCCCTTAAACCTCGGATGACGAGAGAACACACTGGCACCCGGCGCACCAAGTATCGGGTAAACATTTTCAGTGTCCATATATATCGTATATTCTTTCTTGGTTCGAGAAACTTGCGACAATGTTATAAACGACAATTTTCGTGGATAGTACGTACATTTCATCTTGCAAATACCGCGAGACCTTCGCTGTAGCGAATTGCGGTTCCGCGACCGCCTCATAGATGGCGCGAGCGTCTTCTCTCGTTGTAAAAGGTCACGAGCGCTGCGAGCAAACGCGAGGGTGTGAAGGGGCCTTTAGGTCTGCCCGAAGGGTGGGCCATGCACCCCGTGCAGTGCAGACCTCGCATCGCCGTGCAGGCTCCAGGGCCAGGCCTCGTCGGAGCTCTTTGAAGAGCTGAGGGCGAGCAGCCCCAAGCACGTGCCCCTGCTCCTCGCTCGCATGCAAGCCCTCGACGGCGACAAGGTGAGCCGGCGCTCGCAACGTGGGCCGTGTACGTCCGCCTCCAAGCTGGGACGCACTCGCCGCCCAAACTGACCGGTGCACAGTGGAACTCGGACGGAAGGGTCGGGGACCTACGAAGTGTCTCCGGCTGACCCGCGCTAATGCCGTAATGTTTTTACGAAAGCACAATTTAAAGGAAACTAAAATTGAGATATACCTCTCACGTTCAGAAATTAGTCAGACACGATCGACAAAATCTGCTAACGATAATTGTACGTTTGTATTTTGAATGGATTTTCGTTATCAAGGGCCGATTCCAGCGAACGCTCCGAGAGCGGCCGTAGGAGAGCGCGGCGCACCTCGGGAGACCCCGCACGTTTGTGACGTCGCGTTTACTTCGTGGTCGAGGCTACGGGGAGGCTGCAGTGGGCTCTGCCACTTGGTGGTGTCAACGCATTACAACCTGGCCGTTGGAGATGCCCACTCTGCAAGAAGAGGTGCGGGACAGAAGGGAAATCCAGTTTAGCCAAATTCTGTAGTGCTTGCGTGCACGCAGCTTGCCACCGTACTTTCTCGGAGCGGCGTTGCTTTTATGGGTAGTTTGACGTAACACGCAGTTTATTAATGCGAAAGCACGAACTGTCCCATGGAGCGAACCAATGTCGTCAGCTTTGAAGCTGCACCAAAGAGCCCCTTCCCCTATCCTGATGTTGTCTGTAGCAGAAACCCGATAGATAGGCTCCCATTGGTTGGCGCGCGTCACCGAGGAACGAGGCTCCCATTGGATTTCGTGCCGCATAGTTCCAAAAAAGGCCACCAGAGAAGCCTCTGGTGGCTTTTTTGTGTGCTGTGCTGCGCCTCCATGGAGGCGCAGCACACGCAGCGAGAGGGAGCAGTGGCTGGCAGCAGAGCCCGTTGGGCCAAGCTCCGGAGCGGGTGTACGGCCGAGTTTGGCACGGCCACTTCGCGAGAGCTCACGCTGGGCCGTCGGCCGGCAAAACGTGGCCATCCACGCCACTATGCCGCAGCCAACTAAGAAAGTGGAAGCACGACATTCGTGCTTTCGTATTCACAACTCGTAAGAAGTGATCGGGTGACTTCGGAATTTTTTCATTTTAAGTAATGTTTCCGCATCTTTTCAAGCAAAAAATTGCTTTCTCTGCGGTGGGGCCAGAATGTGGTCGACATTTAGACTAAAATAAGCGCTAGAATTTCCTCGTAGTAATACATGCCTGTCTGAGAGAAACCAAATGAATGAACGCGCCTGATCAGCTACGACAGAAATCAAAACGAAGGAAATAAGTGGGATAATATTGGAAACAGTGAGGAGCGGGAAGAACAATCCAAAGCAGGCATGATCAAAATAGCGAAGCTAAGCGAGCAAGCACACTTTGGCGAAGAGTGCGCAGCCTAAATCGAGGAGCAGGCCGAAACCATCACTCTTAACATCCCCGAATGTTACGACAGTCTCATTTATGATATTTGAGCCAAAGCTCTCAATGCTCGAAATGTGTAGTCGCTGAGCATGTGCCGCGACCTCCATTGAAAGCACAGTTGACCGGAAGTTTTAGTACGGTGCCTGCGTCTCCCCCTGGTGTGCTTCTCTTCCGCCATCCAAAGTGATGCCCAAGTGGCAACAAATGACGCCGGGGTGTCATACTGTCGGACGTCGCATTCTCGTCAAAAAGCATGAGCAACTGCGAGTGTCGCTGTCGTCGCAGCATGCCAACTTCTGGTTGTCGGAGCTTCTTGTCGAGCCTGCAGCCAACGGGCGTCTGCCAACTACACCACCACTGTTGGGACACTGCCAGGATGCGAGAGCTTCTATGACGTCATTGGACAGGGATGGAGGGACCAGTTTCTTGGTCGCGGTAGAGACGGCAGTCGGAGACGCAGGCGCCCTAGTTTTCGACTCCCAAGAGGAGTGGTACGGAGGCAGGGGGCTCAGGTTGCCTGGGGCGTGGTTGCAGGAGCGCGGCAGTCAGCTCCACGAGATTGTGTCCCTGGCAGACCAAGTGCTCGGCTCCATAGACACGCTGGAGCTGCTGGCCGCACTCGGGGCACGCACCGACAAGAAGGACCAGAACAACAAGCAGTAAGTTGCAAGCGGTTGTTTGCTCGTACCACGAGCGGTTTGGGAGCAAAACATTGAGCATCTGTTGGCAGTGTGGGTAAGAGTCTCGATAACCCGAGACCAAGGGACATGGCAAACTTTTGCATCTGGGAAGAATTGAAGATAAAAATGGAACAAGTACCCGGACGCGTTTTGGCCCCCTTTTTTGTGTTTTCCCCAGTTCTTCGCGGCGCTCCCTCGAATAGCGGGACTGCCTTATGCAGGATGGAACGGGTGGGACGTCTGTGCGCGGTTTTAGTATGGGTGAGGCAGGGTGCCCGAGGAGGGGAGAAAACCCATGCTTTGTTCCAGGCAGGAGAAGCAGAAGGGCCAGGTGGTGGAGGCCCTGACCAAGAAGGGGGCCGCCCTGTGCGACCTGTTCCTGGCCCGTGCGGAGGGCAGCGGGGACGGCCGCCCACAGGTGTCCAGCACCGAAGGGAGCCCCGAGGCGGAGCCCCCTTCCCTGGCCGACCTGAACAGGGCCTACGCCGAGCTGCTCAAGTGGGCGGACCCCGGCGACACCAAGGTGCGCAGGGCACGGTCTACCGCTCGGACGTCCGTTCCGAGACCGACCGGGGCTGCTTGCCCCCGACGGGGCTCCGAGCGCACTGCTCGCTAAGTGCATTGCTCTTTGTAGTCAATGCGAGAATGGCGTCTCTTTGGAACGCCTCCAGTGCACGCTTGGTGCCTTTTGACAAGCTTTGGCTGCATGTGCACGCACGCATGAAGCATCATCGAAGGTTCCTTCTTGCCGTTTTCACTCCGTCTGGGACTATGCGTTTCTTTCCTTCTTGGGTGTTCTCACGGTCTTTGCAAATAATCCGGCGCAGATTTCCACAAAACCTTCGTGGAAGGCTGTCTTCGAACTAGACTGGAGTCCGAATTAAATACTGTGCCGATTCGCTCCTCTCTGCCACAGGGATGGGCCACACGCCCTTTGCGTCTTGCGCCGCGAAAGCTAGACACGGTGCTCGATGGCCGCTTCTTTTGCGACGCTCGTCGTACCGTGGGAGACGTTAATTGTTCGAAGCCGCCTGAAGGGTTCCTTCGCCTCGCATCCTCTGGCCAGTCCGCTAGTCGTGAGGACTGGCCAAAGCACACCATGTGCGGTGCACTGAGCTCAGCTGCTGCCGTGTCGACAGGTGGCGCCGTTTGTGGAGAAGCACGCCATGGCCCTGGGCCAGCACGGGCGAGCGGCCAAGGTTCTGCTCAAGCTGATGGAGGACAAGCCCTCCCAGGACCTCGACAAGAGGCTAGTGCAGGTCCGTCCATTTTTGCTTTTCTGCACCCGAAATCCACCCTTCTTGGTGGGAATATAGGGGAGCTCTGGCGGTAGGGCTGGCTTTGGGTGCATCCTGTTTCAACTGGAAAGGAACTCTCCCGCACTATTCTGGCAAAGGCGGCGGTAACCCGATGTATTATTGCACTGTACTTGGTATGCATTTTGTGCACTGTTGGGTAAAATATATCTAAAAGGTGCTGAAAGTGAAGTACAAAGTAAATGATACGTAATGTACTTAAAGTAAAGTAGTAAGTACACTGGGTGCAATATACTATGAGGTACTATAAATACAATGTACTTTCAAGGTAAAGTACAAGTACTTTTTAACGAGCTTTCACAATGCCCTTTCATTTTCCTATTCGGGGATTTTTTAACTGGTATGCATTGCCCCGAGGCTAATAGGGGTGGATCACTTATTTTTGTAAATGGCCGAGGAATACTTTTAATCTCGCTGGCAAACCGTTTAACACAATCAACTTATAAGGCACTTGTTTGTATCAAGTGGCCACGAAGTAGTCATTTTCGGCAATGGCGTCAAAGTCACAAGTCCCTCCGACTTCTGAATTTGGTGGCGCCTGCACGGGCTTGTTGCGCCAGGGGGGTTAAACACACTGGGAGAGCACAGCGTCGGACCCGCTTCCACAAGCAATCCTCACGGAGGCTGTTTCCTCCTGAACAAAAATGCAGCGGCTGCACAGGCGACCTGGTGATAATTAATCGTGATGTGATACCCAAAACTCTGGTTACTCAAGAATAAGGAACTTAAAATCGTTATCCTCTGTTGTCTTTTTTTTTTTTTTTACTTTAAAGTTGTTGTATTTTTATTTTTCCGCACTACAGTTTTAGGTAAAACATTATGATTAATTGTCCTCTCCTAATGTGTTTAACCTCCTCGCTTGCGCCAAATGAGCGAGAAGTAGAGAGTTTGGAAAGCTACGAAAGGCCGCCACCGGAGCAAACGGAACGATGCATCGTCTGCTCACGTTTGTGGTGAGAGCAGAATCCCTCCCCGTATTTTAGGGGCGAAGCTCCTTAGGGTCTAGCCTTGTCCGTGCTCTCATCGATTGCACTGCCTCCGGGATCGGCCCACTTTAAAAAGAAAAACGTACGCCCGCACAGGGGTTCGAACTCGGGACCGCTTGCTTACGAGGCAGACGTCTCAACCACTGTGCTACGCTCCAACGTTGCATGTAGCAGCTCAACGTCTATACAGGAGAGGGCGCTGCGGTCAAATGCGTATATAATCGCGTTAAACTTTGCATGCATTGGCGAACGTTTATAGAAGAGAGGGCGCTGCGGTCAAATGCTCAACAGCATAAATAACCACGATCCATATCACACATTCCCTTTCTGACGTGGACCGTTCACTTAAGCGGTGGAAATGCATTCCCACGGCTTCTAGCGGATCCAAGCTGATCCGCTAGAAGAACCACTGGCTCTGCATTTCACCGACCATAAGGCAGTAATAATGAAGTCGAAACGCAACCCAGAACTCAGCACTACCTATGAGCAATAAAAAAAAATTCAGCACTACCTATGAACAATAAAATCAGTGTCATCAGCACCACCAGAGCTTCGCCCCAATCAGCACCATTCACCACTTGGAGATGCGGCCTCTTTTTTCTTCAGATTTGACGGAGTATAATTTTGTGATACAAATTTAATGAGACCAAATTCGGGGAATGTACTTTGAAGTTGGGAATTGTACTTTCCTCAGAAAGTACAAAAAAAAAATACTTTAAGTAAAGTATAAGTACATACTCATATAATGCACTTCAAAAAAAGTACAAACAAGTTTTCTAAACCTACTTGAAGTAGTACTCTAAGCACAATGTACTTAAAGTACTTCCCAACACTGATTTTGTGCATTGTTGCAAACATGGTAGTGCGTAGCCTCTCCGGGAGAAAACTCTACCTAAGCTCCAGTAATAATTGAAAACGAGCATGTTGGTGAATACAGTAGATATGAATACTTGAAAGGATCAAACATTGAGGACGGGGATGGAAACAGGACTTGTGCATACATGTGCAGATGAAAGAGGTTTCCGACCCCGCCCTCGACGTTTTATCTTTTCAGGTATCCAAGCTCCAGCCGTAGCAAAACGCGAAGGTTGAGTCTCTTCCAAAATCCATGCTGGTTCTCTTGCCTTCTGCTCACTCTCCCCCATATGGAGCCACGCTTAGATAACAAAGCCCCTTTGCACAGTACGGTCTGTGTTACTTGCGTCGAGTTATGAGCCACCGGGACATCGGTGCTTCGCTCGGCGACCAATCCAAAGAGTAGCTTGTTGGCGCACGACATTCCAAGCACAGGTCTGTTGGTCACTCGAGGTTTAAGGTAGTCAGATGCTGCTTTGTGAATGGCAATTGAAAGATTCTCGCAAGTCACCTGGCGAGGTTCATTGTGGGTATGGAGTGGAAACCGAGTCCCACTTTCGGCCGTGGTCTCACGCTAGCTTTAGCCAAAGGCCGATGCAGCACTCGTCTTTCGTAACTGGAGTGCGTTACTGGAAACTGCCAGCTGTACAACGACACATTTTGTGTTCAAAGGGACATTTAGATTAGCAGGCTCTCCCTCTACCATGAAAAATCCATCTAGTGACATAGAATAAGAGAGCCCCTCTTTCCTGCGATAAATGTCATCATTGCAACCCCCGGTGTTGGGGGTGGGTTGCTGCAGGTGTACCGACAGCTGGGCTGGGACCACTGCTGCCGGCACGTGGAGCGGAGCAGCCTGGTGCGCTACCCGCCTGCCTACCGGCTCTTCTGAGCACTACCCTAATAAAAGAGCTTTAATAGGACTCTTCCTCGCCGCAACACTTGTACGCTGCACCGTTGATAGTTGCCCGCATTCGTCTTGCCTAGGCGTGAATCAAGTAGAATGCTTTAGCACCAGGTGGATGATGTCGCGCATGCATGCAAGTTCGACACATACTCAATACCCTCGAAAATTGTGTTTTAAATACAGATATGAGAGTTGTTTCCAACATATAATAGCCGTTACTGTATCTTGCATACTTCAATGCATCGATGAATGGCACTTTTCTTTTTTTACCTCTATAAAAATATTTAACATCTTTAGAGACTGAAACCCCCCTCCCAAAAAAGTATTTATGTTTTGCCAGGCGATCTATTGGGGTGTCACAAGACTACCCAATCAATATTTTTTTACAGCGTCACATATATTGTTAATAAAAAAGCTACGCAAATTTTTTTATTTCTTCATTTCCGAGCTCTAGCTTGCAAAGGAACTTCGACGTGCTGTGTTGAAATTGCAGTGCTGCATGTGCAACTCTGAAATCAACCAGTTTCGGAACTATTTCGCCGGCACAAATTTTCATGATCCGTGGTATAGTCGTTACCATGGGGTGAATAACTCGCGCGACTCATTTTTCGTGATTATTTTGAAAACCCGAAATTGGAAAAAACTTGGGTCTTTATGAAAACCAAGTGTTTACTGTATCCTCTGTTCCGCGTAACTTCTCAGACGACAAAATCTACGGGTCCTGCGACCCAATGCGAGCCGTCGCAGCCAACCACGTGTCCTCCCGGGGCTGTATTTCCGCATGGCCGCATCTCCCACGGCCGTTGCATAGGAGAAGAAAACTCGGCGACGTGCTGAAAAGGGGCACACACACTGTTTTCTCAGAAGGAAACCTGAAACCATTTTTTGGCCCATTTGCTCATTAACTTAAAGGAGCAATGCAACAATTTTTGTACTTTGCGCAAATACCGCTTAAAACGGATCCCTAACGTTAATGAGCTATGAAACACGCATTCGTTTTTCACCCCACGCAATAGAAGTCCCAGAAAAAAATTAAAGAAAAACGAGCGGCGTTCACCCCCTCAACTCGCAGCCAGAACAAGCGGCCACGTGATCTGGAGCCGATTATATGCCGCCAGTGTTGATCATAGCCACGCGCTGGGATTGGCAAAGCGCAGGACACGCGCTGAGTTCAAGACATTGTTATGGTTCGGCTGTTGTCGTCGTTGCAGCGATTGGACACGGGTCACAACCCGAATGCTTCTCGAGCTAGCAATTGTCACGAGCCCAAGTCTAGTGCCCACGCAATGCTCGGGTCCAATCTGTGAACCGCATTCAAATATCGTCACTTGGGTGTACTGCGATCCCCGAGTTACGTCATCAAATTTTGCAAAGGAGAGATTGAATGAAAATGATCGCTTTTGTCCTTGAAATTACACCGCAACAAAGGAGTTTCTTGGCCAATGGCGTTGCGTGTGAATATCCTTGAGTCCCAGGTGTGCCAGTAAGCCCGTGTAGAGAGAGAAACATTCCAATTGAATATCGTTGCACAGCTCCTTTAAGAGATTGCAGGACAAATAGGAAATCTGGACATCATCCACATAGAATGAATATGAAACTGATGGAGGTATCACTGCAGCAAAGCTGTTTATCTTCACCACAAACAAAGTGACGCTTAAGACACCCCCTCGAGGGACGCCATTTTCTCGAAGAAAAACATCCGAAAGAGTTACCTAACCTGAAAAGTTTGGTTAGTCAAAAGCCTCTTTAGGCAGCGCAGCCACGGACACTATACGTGTACAAGTCCTTTAGAATCCCGTAACGTCACGCAGTAACATAGGCCTTCTCCAGGTCAAAAAATACTGAAACACGGTGCTGTCAGGTGCTTCACTTATGGAAGTTTCCGGGCTAACAAGATGATCTAATGCTGATCACCCCATTCTAAGCCCACACCAATTGGGATCTAAAATTCCCTCAGTCTCTAAGAAGTGTACTAATCGTCTATTTATTCGTTTTTCGTAAGCTTTCCCAAGGCAGCTGGTCATTCTTATGGGACGATAACTTGCTGGTAGAGCAGAGTGTTTACCCGGTTCCAGGAGGGGAATGAAATGTGCCCGTTTCCAGCACTGAGGAAAGGCAGAAGCTTCCCATGAATGATTAAAAAAGTTCAACATATGAGAAATTGGAACAGCGCACAAAAAAAAACGAGGACAACGAGACTATCGACTGAAGTTTTATTAAAAACGGCTCAAACAAGAAAACACCACAAAGCCAACCAACGCCGAAACAACCAGTGGCGTGTCGCTCACCATGCATTTATAAAATCAATCTCTTTTTTTGTGGAGATAAACCGAAGGCTGACTGACGCAGTGCCCAGAGCCAGCTTTTTCGATAGCCATGCGCCTCCAGCACCTCTTGGCACTTTTGTTGGCCCCCTGCCAATTACTATGGTATCTTTGAAGACGGGGTGACACAAGCAGTCTCTGCAATGTACGTATAAGTGTCCTCCCGTCTTATACGTACACTGCAAAGACTGCTTGTGTCACGCTGTCTTTAAAGATACCATAGTCATTGGCAGGGGCCAACAAAAGTGCCAAGAGAGGTGCTGGAGGCTCACGCCATCGAAAAAGCTGGCTCGGGGGGACTGCGTCAGCCAGCCTTCAGTTTATCTTCACAAAAAAGATTGATTGATTTTATAGATGCATGGTGAGCGACACGCCACTGGTTGTTTCGGCGTTGGTTGGCTTTATGGTGTTTTCTTGTTTGAGCCGTTTTTAATAAAACTTCAGTTGATAGTCTCATTGTCCTCGTCCTTTTTGCGCGCTGCTCCCAATTTCTCAAGTCACGAACCAACTTGCCTGCATCGCCACCTTAATTCAACATATGGCCTAGAGATTCCAGAGACAAGTGCCGCAACATTTCGTTGCGGATTTTGTCAGGTCCAGGTACCGACTGCTTTTTTGACCCAAAGACCACCCCGAGTTCGCACATTGTGAAAGGCTGCTTCTATAAGAGTGTGTCTGATCCCGACATAGAAATTGAACTTTTTAAATTTGGCAGAATAACTAGATGAGCTAGAGAGACGTCACAAAAATGTTCCGCAAGAACATTTGCCTGGCCCTTCAAGATTGGAGAAGGCAAGGGTAAAAAAGGCGTCCTAAAAGAGATGTAGTTACCCCCAATCTTCCTCCCTCGGTCTCACCTCAGAAGTGACAAAACTGTTCACCTTGGAAACATGATTCATCCATGAGCTTAGCTTGTTTCCTTCTCCAACGAGCCTTTGCTTTACACATTTTAAATTCTCTCTTGATCCAGGCCGTAGGGTAGCGGCAAAACGTGCCCCGGCACTGTTCCCAGATCTAAGCTTGCAACACTTAAGATTTCAAGATGTCTGAGGAATGGAGATAGTTATGGTATGGTCAGTAACGTACAGGCTGGCATTTCAGAGGTCATGGCTAAGAGTTCGGTTGGGTCAACCACTGCTTCCTATGCAAAGAGAACCCAGTCAGCTTTGTCTAATTTCCACCCGAGGATACGTGTTGGAAGTGAAGGAGGTACTACAATACTTTCTAAAATAGCAGGAAAATGATCACTTTCAAAAGGATTCTCTAAAACCTTCCAAGAAAAACAGGGAAGTTGGAGATGAAAGAGACAAATTGATAGAAGAAAAAGTATGAGGGGCACTAAAAAAAATGTAGGTTCTTGTCCATTTAAAAGGCAAAGGCCGGTTTATAACAAAAATCTTTCAATGACACCACCATGCGATTTCTAGTTATAAACGAGTTTGACTGTCCCTCTTTCCTCATCGTAAATTAATAACACGCTCAACCATCTACGAGTTTGACCGTACTTGAAATTTAGAAAATTTATCGAGTTTTGTAATTGACTCGCCTTCCCAGTTTTTCTAGGAAGATTAGGTGCACAGTTGGTTTGAAGACAACATTGTGGGCATTTGTTCTACAGCTTTCGCATTTTGGAAAGATGAACCTTCAAGTTTTGATCAACTTCTTCCTCCACAAAGGTCAGTGTTTTGCGGCGAGAGGTGGGGCGCACATATTGCGCGGCTCCCAAGTTCCGTAGACCTACGATATTGATGATGATGATAATTCGTTGCGATTTCTTTGCATTGTGTGGTTCAGAGCCGTATATGGGGAGAGTTTGGCCAGTCTATGATCTCGCCGCCGTAACGCCCCCTCCAGAGTGAGCCAATCAACCTGCGGTGCAAAGCGAGAGGCGCGAGTGCACGCGCGCAAACTCCCGGCTGGTCCCAGCTGAGCAGGGAGGTCCACCATTTTCATTCATTTGCCCGGCGGAATGCATGGGATCGACATCCAAATTTCGGTCCTTTCCTTTTATTTGGCAGGCTCTGGCAATAAAACGATACAGTGGTATCCCTCGGTGGCTTAAAAAGCTAAAGAATGAAGTTCCTTCACGTTTGAATGCAAACTTTTATTCGGGCAAAAAAGAAATAAGCCCGTAGCAGACGACGCATAGTCTCAACAGTGCTCGGCGCCGACAGCGTTGCGTCAAAATGGCGGTCGTCTCCCCTTTGCTCCCTTCCCTTCGCTTTTATCTTCTCCGGCGCCTTCCCCACTGGCCGAACTCTCCCAATATACGGCTCTGGCTCGGCTTATTTGCAAGTGCCACCGAGCGCCCCTCAGCAACATTCTTTACCGGTGGATGCAACGGCTAGAGGAGTACAGCCAGTGCGCGAAAAATCTCGGAGGCCAGGTCCCGATGTCACTGACAGGAGCCATAAGAGGGCGCCACCAAAACGTATCTACATTGAAGTAGTTTGATAGTATGCACTTTTGCTTGACGCTTCATTAGCACGCATGTTCTTTTAAAGTGCTGTGCCATGTAAGGCATTCGTGCGTAGTCTATACACTGTTGGCGTCGCTAAGGTCGCTGGATCCAGGGAAAGTAGTGCCAAGAATACTTTCCTAGGATCACCATTTCGGTCACTATTTTGGTCCATGGAAGGAGCAGTTCCTCCTCGACCTCTTCATTCTCGGCGAGTCGATCCAAATCATGGTGCCAGTCTTCGTAGACATTCCTTGCATAGCAAGACTTACCCACACACCAGCGAAACAGACGCACATCTTCGCCCTGCCACCTCATGCGGAGTCTGTGCTTTGTGGCAATGAAAAGGAATTTTCCCGTCTCGAAATATGTAACAAGAACAATATCGTGGTAAGACACCCGTGGAGGTAAGCATGATTGGCAAGTTGGTTGCGTACAGACTGTAAACGATGCTTATACTGATGAGGAACGCTTTCAGTACGACACTTCATAGCAATCTTGGTGTAACTGCTTCGGAACAACCTTTACAAAGATGTGAAAGGACCGAAATGGCACCGTGGCAACAGAGACCGATCAGTCGCCTCGAGTTTCCTAGCAGGCAGGGAAGGCAATGGCACTACTTTCCCAGAATCCAGCGACTTTAGGATCAACTGCTCTGGGATGAAACAATGTCGGTACGAGAAGTCCGAGATAACTGGCTTGGGATCAAGCGAGTGGACCCCGCAGTTTACAGTGTCTCCACTTTCCTGGCACGTGCCACGGCAGCTGGTCAAGGCCTTTGGAGGTGTCGTGGCCTCGCTTCATCCTCCCCGCCCACCACTTTTTCCTTTCTTGTAGTTTTGGAGAAGCAGCCACACTGTACAGACCATGCAACAACGGCCTCTGGCTCCCTGCTCTACTGACTTTGGCCAGTCTCTTGGAATTTTTTTCGAAAACTCGGTGCTTTAGATTTTTATTCTTCCGTTTGTGCACAAAAAATGCACAAACAGAAAAAACAAAATTGCGGCGAGCTTTTTGGGAAAAAACGCGCAAGTGGCTAGGTCACCCACCAAGCTGAAGCGTAACTATTAAGCATATTCCGAGATGCTGTCAGCTCTGGTTTATAGATTAACCCTCGACTTTGGAAGCCGATTTATTCTCCCCCGCGAGTGGAAGCATTAGACAGAAGTGTCACCATTGAAAGCCTGAAAATGCAATCTGTTCAACTCAAGTTTTACTTTCTCTTTATATGTTAAAGAATATATGATGTGCAGAGTAGATGTTGAGCTTGTTGCTGCATAATTTACGATAACAGAAGAGGGGCATGGAAGACGGACAACAAAAGCTTTCGCCTTGCAACGAGACATATTGTTGCAAGTCGAAAGTTTGTGTTGTCCGCCTTCCATGTCCCTCTTTCGTTATCGACCTGCCAATTTTGAAAGGATTGACTGCAACTGATGAACAAGAATGCCAGCGAAACAAAAGGTCAAAAGAGGTACCGTTTGCAAAACACTTGCCCCTCTTTTTTCCTTTTTTCTCATGCTAGCGCATTATCTTTGAACTTCTCACCGCAAAGCGTGCTTCGACAACTTCCAAGGAACGGGACTGCAGGGAATCCAAACACCAGAAGCAATAGACGGGGCCCAGGTCAAAAAATTATTTTATTTCACTTAAAAAAAAAGAGGTGAAATAAACCCTGGGTTCCAAGCGTTGTCGCATCAACATTGACGCACCCCACTCTTGCTGGCACTCTGTCCCTTGCACTCTCTCGGTGGGGTGGCCGACAAAAAAAAAAGGGCCTCGCCTCCCCTCGGAGAATGCACAAACGGAAAAACCCGCAATGTGAGCCCTTTGCAGCCGTGGCTCTCTCCCTGTTACGGGGTTGCATGTCGACGACAAAGCGAAGGAACACAAAAAAATTGTGGTCGCAAAATGAAAGCATCGAAAACAACTCGAGGCACAAAGAACTAAACTGAGGCTTTTGTCCACCGTTTCCCGCGAAAAAGAAAAGGGAGCATTCAAAGACGGAGCGAGGCCAGAAAGGCGCAAAAGTTTTGCCTCGCTCCGCCCCAGTTCACAGAGTCCTGCCGCAGTCTCCCAGAGTCCGTGGGAACGGCAGGAGGTTCCCGGGAGTGGTGGGCGCCATTCGGGGCCGGCTCTCGGTGCACACACACACACACTCTCGCCGCTCCACGGGTGGCGCCCACAGCGGGGTCGTGGCGACCCCCAGAGTCCGCTCGTCGTCTGCCGCTGGGGCCGCACCTGCGCGGCCCCGCGTCCGTCCCCGGGGCAGTTCGGTCCGGCCTCGGAGCCTTCTAGACTACCGACCGTACGAGCCCCAATCTGCCGTTTCTGCCGCGGCCACAGCACTACCTCAAAGCTACCAGTCCGCATTTTGTTTCTTTTGCGCCGACGCACTGTCCAGGGTGGTCGGCGTCGTCCGCGAAAAATTGCGACGCGCCAAACGACGAAGAGGAAAACGCGCGCGGGCGACGCCGGCCAAGTTAGGTGTGGCCGTACGTCGGCAGCGCCCGGCCGGGGCCGACCGCGCGTGCGTCAATTTCGGCCGAGGAAGACAAACATTGCCGTGTCCACGAATGGGGGCGCTCAACTTTGCTGCGACTGTCCTCCAGGTGTGGAATGTCAAATGGTTGCATAAGTCAACAGTTCCGTCGGAGCGGGCAGTCCGACGATTCCTCGGAGGAGTGCGGAAACAAGGAGAGAGAATCGGGAGAAATTCAGAGTAAGCGCTGCATTCGGATTGGGCGACAATTTCTGGGAATGTGGCTGAGTCAAATAGCTGCATCTCTCAAAATGGTTTCAAAAAGTCATGGAAAATGTTCCCCCAACGCCGACTTGTAACTTTGTGACTTGAAAACTACCACTGCAATGTAAAATTAAGGAAATCAAAACGAGGTCCGAGGCAGAAAAGGCCCGGCACCACGCTTCTAAGTAGATCTGCAACTAACTTGGAAGGCACTGCAACAACGGTAACTCCAATGTCTCTCTCTGTCGGTACTCGGATAACTACTGGTCCGTCAAAAAGGAAACCACAAAAACTTAAAATCTTTGTCAGACGCGCTGTCAACACAGCCGTAAGCCCCTCCTCCTCCATCGGCCTTTCGTCCCAGCGTCTCTAGGTCTAAAGTGTGTCTCGCTCGGTGAGCCTCGAAACGGGAGGACCCACAAAGCCGCAAAACAGGCCGGCAGCGATGCGGGGGCCGGCTAATGGGGCCTCGAGATAACAAAGGGCCGTCCAGGAAGACTGCTCCCCGCCGCTTTCGAGGAAGCGGGCCCACACTGCCCCCGTGCCCCTGTAGTCTCCGGAAAAGGCGGGAATAGGGGGCCCCGAAGGGAGCGCCTGTTGGAGGGGCCCTGCAGTGATCCAGGTGCCGCAATCTACTCAACAACAGCTTTAGAGCAGGCACTTCGTTGTATACTGTCACTTTGCACAGGTGGTGGTGGTGACGTGTAGCACCTTCAGAGACCAGCTTCCAAAATGCGCGCTACTTGGGGAACTGAGGGGGTATTTTGGCACAACTGTAAGGCAGCAGGGTCCTTCTCTGCTCCGGAGCGTGCCAACGGGAGGCAACGTGCTCCGGCCGACCAGGACTGCACCTCCGTGCCAAACGCAAGTCGGGACGTGTCCTAAACCAGGTGTGCTGCCGGGAACAGAGGGGGAAAGGCCGTATATAAAAAGTTACAAAAATATCCGTCTTTCTTCTGCGGGGTCTTCTTTGGTTGACACTGCCTTCCCACCAGGCGGCGCGAGACAAAAGACGGCGCCTGCTGCGGCTACGACAAAATGGAATGGCAGAAACAAGCCTCCGAAATCAGAACGAGAGATGCGGGGAAAAGGGCGCAGGGGCAGGACAAAGCACCAACGCGGAGAGCCGTCAACGGCCGCGCCCGTTTCTTCTAAAAACGCGGGAGTCTGGCTGCCTCGTCGACCACGTGTAGGGAGCGTTGCAGTATGAAAAACTCTTATGTACAAATACTTGCCGGGCCCACGCCCGGGCGCCCCGTGAGCAGTCCCCCGGCCGCCCCGGGCTATGTACACGTCCGCGTCGCCTTTAGAAAAAACTAACTCCTAGAAAGCTACCTCTAGTCAACTACCACCTACGCATCACAAAGCTTCCCTCCCTTTCCGTTGCTTGCTCACTTTTTTTTTTTACAACTTTCTTTTCAAAAGTTTCTCTCGGTTCCGGGACAACTACTAAAAGACCCTGCGGGGACAGAAAAGACGCGAGCCGCAAGCGGGAGCCCTCCGAGACGAAAAGAGGCAGCGTCCCGAGACGGCTCCAAAGGGGGGGGCCCTGGCGCTCCCTGCGGAAGCTCGTCAGACGCAGCTCCGGGCCAAAGAAACAAAGCCCTGGAGCCACCAACCAGGAGGAGAAAGGGCGCGTGCCGGCTCCATTAACCACACGCAGCGGCCAATAGTCTCGAAACGCCCAAATGAGGGCCGACCTCGGATGGAGCAAAGACCGGCGGGACAAAACCAAAGGCGCCGCCCGCAATACGATTAAAAGAACGAAACAAAATAAAAATCTCCCGACGCAGACAGTGGCGGCGCCACTTTTGATTCTCGACTCAAGCGTCGTCTTCCTTAAAAACCGCGGCAATTAAAAACGGGGCGTGCGCTCGTGCGAGTGGTTGTGGGCGGTCGGTCCGAGGGGTTTACGTTAGGGTCACCCTCGCGCGGCCCCCGGTCCCCGCAGCCGAGGCGGCAGCCCGCTCTCTCGGAGAGGGACTCGACCGGGGAAGCCTGCAACAAAATCAGATCTGCAAAGAGAAAGCAATGCACACCGTCAGGGATCCTCAGCCGCTGGCTTGGCCAGTCGCACACTGTCTGGTGCCTGCAACGCACCTCCCACTGATGGCTTTACTAGACAAATTACGGGAGAATGCTAATTAAGAGTGGAACGCAATGGTTAACCATATAAACCCCCGGTCATTTCCGTGCAAGCGTGTCTGGCTCGCAACCGAAGGGTCCTGGGTTAGAATCCGGCCTCCACCTAAAATTCTTCACATTTTTTCTTTAAGGGGGAACACTGGTCTTGGAGCTTTTTTTCTTATTTTGGGACCAAACTCAATGAAACTGCACAAGCTTGTTCAGCTTTTTGTGCTGATTTCATATGTCTGGTAATTTCTTCATTCAGTAGTATTGTCCCGAAGATAATTAAAACTTGCCTGCCTTTGTTTGGAGGAATGATAGGGAAAAAACTGCTCAACAAAATATCCTTTTTAACACATGGCCAGATACTACGAAGTGTAAAGAATACAATGTTGGAAGTACTTTTAAGATAAACCCATTATTAGTGATTTTAAAACATATTGAAGTTCAGTGCTCAATGCGTGGCTAACAAGTAATAAAACAAAAGATCAAAAAATTTTCTAGACTTATATTAAAAAATCTGCTCTCAACATTGTATGCTTCACACCTTTAGCAACACATTTCAAGAGAGGTTATATTTCTGACTGCTGTAGAGGCTGAGATATCCCTCCTGCAAATTTTCAACAAGTCCAAAAATTGTGTTACGTGAAAACAATGTTTTAGAATTTTCAACTTTAATGCACATTCAGCCCGCATAGACATTATAAATTGCTTTATAGCTCGAATATTCATCTACGAAATTAGAAGCTGGGTAGATTCAGAAGAACAACAGCCATCACCGTTTTCAAAAGAAAGCAGTTTTAGAAAGTTTTTGGCTCCAGAGACCCATGTCCCCCCTTAAGGCAATTTACTTCATAAAGTTAAATCTTCTCAGATATGTGGCGACCTTTAGTTTGCATTGCGTGTCGTGTCTTTTAGGGGCGAAGCTCCTTAGGGTCTAGCCTTGTCCGTTCTCACATCGATTGCACTGCCTCCGGGATCGGCCCATTTTAAAAAGAAAAACGGATGCCCGCACAAGGGTTCGAACTCAGGACCACTTGCTGGCGAGGCAGACGTCTCAACCACTGTGCTACGCTCCAACGTTGCATGTAGCAGCTCAACGTCTATACAGGAGAGGGCGCTGCAGTCAAATGCGTATATAATCGCGTTAAACTTTGCATGCATTGGCTCAACGTTTATAGAAGAGAGGGCGCTGCGGTCAAATGCTCAACAGCATAAATAACCACGATCCATATCACACATTCCCTTTCTGACGTAGACCGTTCACTTAAGTGGTGGAGATGCGTTCCCACGGCTTCTAGCGGATCCAAGCTGATCCGCTAGAAGAACCATTGGCTCTGCATTTCACTGACCATAAAGCAGTAATAATGAGGTCGAAACGCAACCCGGAACTCAGCACTACCTATGAACAATAAAATCAGTATCATCAGCACCAGCAGAGCTTTGCCCCAATCAACATCATTCACCACGTGGAGATGCGGTTGTTTTTTCTTCGTTTTTTTTTTAATCCCTTTCATTCGACGCATGACGTCATGTTTCACGTGAGCGTTGTGGGTTGTTTCGCCTTCCCACGCGGGGTCATGTGGCTGCGACGTCACGACCCTATCGACCAATCAGGATTTTCCCGTCACACCGAAGTCGGATTTTCTGCGACACAAACTCTAGACGCTGTCGCATTTAAAAGTGCCACCTCAATTTCTGCCAAATTACGTCGGGCATAAATTGACGCTGTGGTGGACCTGTTCTGCTGCACGTCTCCCCCCAGCCCGACGGTCCATGGGAGCTTTGGCAGTTGAGAAGCCGTCAAGACAGACACACCCTCTGGTGCTTTCTTCCAGAACTTCTACGCCCAACAGCATGACACTCTGGCTTTTGCATCCTTTGTTGCCACTACTTGCGACGTATGGGCGGGACACGACACACCAACGTCCTTGGGGGCTCCAAAATTCACTATCTCACCTTGGCATTTAAGGAACTACTGCCACACAGAGGGTTGACCAGGTCCTAGACAAACAGCCAAATGAGTTGTTGTCCCAACTTGCGCGTTCGAGAATCTCAAAACAGAAACCGCTCTGGCAATCCACATTTGGAAAATTATAGTCTCACGTAGAGAATTAACGGTAAATAAACACTTTTCAAGTAAAAAAAAAAGGGTGTAGTGGCTATGAAACCATACCAGCAGATATGAAAGAGTCGCGTAAAAATAATGAATTTGCGACCGGTGCTGATTGGCACAACTTTCTCAATACCTTGACCTTCTTTCGAAGGTAGTACATCCTATTATCCAAATAAGAAGATGGCCTCGAGCTGTTACGCTAGCCAAATAATTGTCCGCGATAAATACTTTACCTGAAAATTTTCAACACCTACCATAAAATACCGAGCAAGCGCACACCCGAAATTTGAGGAGAATCGTGAAAAAATAGGGGATGGGCGCATCTGAGGTCATCATTTTTACATAACGTACCGCACATATTTTTTCGGATGCTTCGGATTTTGGTGGTGGGTGCTTAGTGCAGGAATGCACGGTATTCTACGCTAAGTTGACAGGAAATCACCCTCGCATAATTATTGCGCACCACGCGAGTGGTGAGAAATACTCTCGTAAGAAATGTACGACCGAAACCAAAACCACTCGTGCTAGCCACGGGGAAATAACGCATGTGCGCACAAACAAACAAAATATTCGGTAGATGTAAGGCAGACAATGCCACTGTGCGTCACATTTTTCTGATAATTCCTACTCTCACACCATGATCCTGGAGGCAATTCTTCGGGATTTGTCGAGATGAATGTTTGTTACTCTAAAAAATATTTGGGGGCAGCCAGACATTGAAAAGTGTGCAACAGACAACTCTAGAATCGAACATGAGGAGAATACGGAAACATCCGCAGCGTAGAAACCTTTCGTCCGAGCTGCGGACTAATCCCACTCGGGGTGTGCGGACGTCTTAAAACGCTCGAGTTATTCGCGCGAGCCTTCCTCATTCGATTCTTGGTTTTGTGCCAAGCACTCAAAAGGCGCCGTCACATTGAGAAAACACGGCGGCGACAGCAGCGCATGTTCATCGACAGTTGGTCAACTTTGTTTTCTGTTGCCCGACAAACCTGTCGCATCGTGGGACCATCAGCGCAACACGGGTGACAGCCACAATGTTGCCTCGGTGCAAGAGTTAACAAAAACAGCAGCAACTTGCGTTGGACGACGCGTGTTGGCCACATCGGTGGATGGGCCGATTTTGTGCCGTCAACACAACAGACAGTTTCGACGGCAGAGTTCCCCATCAATAACTTTTTTCTTAAAGGGGCACTCAAGTGGATTCTGAGATCGTCTATTTATTGTCATAACTCAATCTGCGGGCTCTAAGCATCCTAGAAATCCCAAAATTACATTCAAGGGCGGCCGATTTCCCTATTAAAAATCCAATCAAAGATCGCTGTTCTGCGCCTAGGCGCACGCCGTCAGGGGCGCTGTCGGACGGGAAGGCAGCAGGGAAGGGCGTGCGCCATGCAATCACGAGTGACGGCTTCCCGGCGGATTGATCCTTCGAACCGGCGGAGTGATCTTCCGAATGTGCGCGTATTTGATGGATTCTCGTTGGGACTCATTTTGTTTACTTCGGGTCTTGCGTCGTGCGGAGATGGACCTGCCAAATCTAACACCGTTGGAGGTGGAAATTCTTCGGCGGACGGCAGATATCAGCTCAATCTCCTACGACGCCACTCCTACGCGCGACGCCGATGCCTTGAACGCGACGGACTCGGACGACAGTTCGCGATGCTCAATGTCGACACCGGAGGAAGACGACGAAACCGACGACGCAACCCAGCGGCTTGGGAACACCAACTGGTAGGTGATGAGCTGTTTATTATACCTCTCATATGTATAGCTGATGCTGGTTTTCTGTTTTAAGGTGCCTATGCAGTTGCTGCGTGCCGATGGAAACCGTCGCAGAGTGTGTCTGCTGCCGTGACTACCCGGCCGCCGTTCGCATGCAAGCAGCAGGGCCGGCAGAGCTGCGTGACAAGCCACCCGGATTTCGAGGGGCTGTGCCTCGATCCGCGTGTGCTACAGCTGGCCTGTAGCACACCCGGGAGTGATGTGCGTGGGCACATCACTCCCACGTAACAAGGCGAGGAGAAAACGTAGTTCGCTCTTTTTCAAACAATAATAGCTGTATTACGTCCCCTACAGCCAAAGATTTGGCGTTGTTGTCAAAATATAATGCGCATGTGCCTAAAAAGAGCAATAATAATAACTTTAGCAATCTTTTCGCAGTTCGCTATTTCTATTGGTCGAATTCTATGGAGGTGGTGGAGACACGGGATGGACCCCGCAAGAGGATATAGTGCCTGTGTATTTCTATTGCTGTGAGTTTACTAGGGCGCCTTGCCATTTAGAACTGGTCATTTTTATTGACTGAAGCCCAACAAACAATATGCTTCCAAAAACAAGCTTCTCCAAAAAGCACTTGAGTGCCCCTTTAAGAGCTTACTCCAATAAAAGCTCGGTAAAGGCTATGTAACAACAATTGAGACTGGCGTGCAGCTAAAATAACTCGATGAACGTTTTTACTGCACAATTACAGAAAGCGATTGTCGAAATGGTCACAGCTACGGTCTTGGAACGTTCAGATGGCTGTTGAAATCAGAACTGCCGAGAGACCACTCACATTACTGCTAGTGAAATAATAAGCCTCGTTACCCGTTGATAAATTTTAGTAAAAATCAGCCAGGAAAGCGAGCGATGCAAAACCGAAGCATTAAAACGACCACTTCGATCATGACTGTTGATGCTTGGTACTTCAAAACAGCCACTGCCAGACCCCTGAATTGTTGAAAAAATTCCCAGGACGTTTTGGGGCACGAAGCCATCAGACAGCAGGCAGTAGGCAAACAGACAGGGTTGGAAAATATTTATGCGACCGATCGTTATCAAGGCTGATCGTGTTGGTGTCGCAGTTTTTAAGCACTGCAAGTTCAGCTCAACACCACACTAAAAAAAGACACTTTGGGGAACTGCCGGTATTAATTAAATTTTACGCTAGAAATAAAAAATTGCATGAAAGAACCAAACTGGACAGAAACACTTTCATAAGGTGGCGTAAATCATGCACAGCAATCTCACTTTATGCTCGGTGATCTCGGTCGGGGCTTAGCTGCGTCATCGGGGAATTAAGGACATTCGGGTAAAATGAAAGGTGGAAAATACTCCTCGCGTCAAGTTCTCTAATCACAGTCAGTGGTTCATGTCGTCCCGTGGTAACTTCCAGACCTTCAAATGCACTAGCCCCTTGTAGAGAGATTTCCAGCGACGCTGCACACAAACAAAGGTAAACAACCAGGATAACGGAGTGTTCCCCGTGTCACTGTAGCGCGGTGCGACGAGGCATTCTTTGATTGTCGGAAAACAAATCGGCGAACACGGCTGCCGGTGCCTGCTGTTGCCCCAGTGCGACGGGGTCGCCGAAAACACGTTTCTCTCGTGTGGATGGACAGAATTGTCCAACTGTTTCCTCAATGCGACAGCACCATTAAGGTCTTAAGTTGGCGCTGGAAATAGCGCCAACCTTTCTGATGCAGCACTGTCTTTGCGCTATATCAGTGATGCAGTGCCGATACAGCGCTACAAGTTTCCTCGAAGTCGGCGCAACATCAGCACCGTTCTCTATGCAAGGCCGCAATGCGTTTGCGAGCGGGCCTTTAATTCACGTATGGTTTTTCTGCTCGGCATTTGTTCGGGTCAGAACGTCCGTAAGAGAGGAGCCGCTTGCCTGGCAATTGTCCGCCGCATCACTTAGCCTGGGGGTAGGCTTGATATGGGTGCTGGGGCTGGTCGTCCCCGTTGGGGCCCCCGCTTCCAACCCCCATGCCGCCGTTGGAGGGGTCCTGCAACTGGAAGACACTCCCTCAGCCCAAGCTCCACCCGCTCCGGAGGCCCCCATGCCCACCTCCGAGCCTTCCAACCTAGCATTCGGGGCTCGCATTTGGGTCAAGATAATGCGGGCTGCATCGCGCGACGCAACATAAAATGCACGCACGAGCCGCGGAAAATTTATGATTGCGTTATTTCTACTCTGTACCTTTGTTTTAGATTGACGGGAGTCGGGACCTGGAAGGGGCGTCACAGACTAGAGCGGTCACGTGGGCCCAAAAAGCCGCAACACGATTGCGGTTTTGCTATTTGCTCTCTTTCCAGCGTATAAAGTTTATTGAAAGTAAAGAAGAAACCGTGAGGGTGACAATAAGAAAGAACAGGGGTGCCAACTAATTACCGCTTGTTTTACCAGCGCTTTACATGCCGCGATAAACTGGCCCTTCTTTAAAATTAGTCATATTGCCAGAAATATCATTTCGCAATATTTTGGTGCCGAAACCCGGGACAAGAGGTCCACGGCGTCTACCGATCGAAAAAATTCGACTACAGACTGGGCAGGTGCGAGTTACGGAAAGAAGACAAAATGCGTGAATTTCACGCTTCTTATGGACGTACGATAAGCCGAACAATCGCCAGCTGAGCTCCAGCTCGAATTCACAACTGCCGACGTGCACCAATGAAGACTGTGTTTGCCACGCACCTGCTGCACCTTTCCTGGGGCAGGTGCATAGAGCAGTCAGCTGCTCTAGAAAAGATGTCAGAGTAGCAGAGTCTAAAAAATAGTGGCTTCGGCTTCGGACGTTCCATATCCGTTTTCGGTACGGGATGTTGCGGCAGTGGTATGGAAAATCGGCAACGTTCGTAATTCTGCATGCCCTGTTCGGTCTTCGTTCCCGGGTTTCGGCATCATGTGCGGGGCACTTGAGGAATGATTGGTTACGGCCAGGTTTCTTCAAGCAATACACTCGTGCTCGTGCAACTGTAGGATATTTACCTACTATACGGGGATGGTTTAATGATGTTTCACGGCCAGTCATTTTACGATAGAGTTCACACGACTGCACTCAGTTTTTGGGCCCCCATGAGCGCCGCCATATTTGCCCTTCCTGTTCTCTAAGGAAATCTCGAAAACTCGGCTTCCAGCAATCAAAGCCAAATCCATCGTGTAGGAATAACGCAATAATCGATTAATAATAACACCGTGCCATATTTTATGTTGCATTTTACGATTATTATTGTCATACGCGTTACAACAAATAAAAAAATGCAACATTACAACAAATAAAAAAATGCAAGATAAAAAATTTCATGTTTCTCTACTCATTCAATAGAGAGGCTTGTTTGGAGCTTCCAGGCCTTTCTGAAACATTTAATTCAACAATCCCTCGAGCTGATTTTTTCTTTTTCTTTATTAAAGTTAGAAATTAAGAAGAAATGCGAATGTACGAGATACACACCGCCAAAATTCAATACAGTCAAATTATGGCAGTGTGTATTTCATAAATCTGCGAGGTAAAAAAAATAATACTATCAGAAAATTATTCATTTTTTACCTCTATAAAGATAGTTCTGTGGTGGAGATTATGTGGCTCCCCTTCACTAATGACGGGTGGAAGAACAACCAATCGAATCGGTTCTCTGCATCATCACTAGGGGCCGCACCACGATGCTCTTCCCAGCGCACCACATCCAATAGTTCAAGGTCTAGCAGAAAATCTCAAGAAGGAATTCCTGGCATTTCACTCAGAAAGTTGGCAACTTTGGGGATAAGCTCCAGCAATGCCCGCGCCCCACTAATCAGGGCATCTGCACACTTTTCATTCATGGTGAGAAGACTGCGTTGTTCACCAAGTCCTACGAGCGTTTCCCTTCAAAAATCTTTGCTTCCTCGAAAGAATACACGCGTCAATATGGCCCCCTACTTTACCTGCGGTCGGGCAGCCCCCAGCAAAGAGACTTTTAGCGCACAAAGGTATTCCGCAAGCCAATAGAGAGTTCATCCATTTAGGGTACATTTTTTGACAGCGCCGAATTTCTACTCCTCGGCAAGGACAGGTAGGAAGGACCAGCAGAATGGTGCGACCATGCCGCATGCAAGCCGAATCACTTTGCTTACGCTCATGTCGACCCTCCATTTTAGAAACCAGTGCCGGAAGGAAACAAAAAGCATCCACCTGCACTCAAATAGGCAAGCTATTCGAAGCAGTTACATTTTCTACAACTCCTCAGCAGATAGAGAATATTGAAGGTCGGGCTTTTTAGCTAGACCTACGCACACTCGAAAGGAGCTTGCTCTCGGGTGCAATGAGCAACCACCCACTACGCCCAATTGTGTAGCGAGCAAATGCCTTTTGGCACAACTGAACCCGAAGAGGCGGTCGTTTCGAGGCATTGGGGAGTGATCGCTTTTGCCCGTTCTTGGCGCGCTTCACCCACCTCCGAAAGTGGGATCTGTTGCATCAGCTGGGGTGCCTGCTGGTAGATGGTGGCTGCCGTGGCCGGGTTGCCGTAGTGGTGGCTGCCGGCCATGTACTGAAACGAGGGGAGCAACCCTGTCGGCAGCGCCACAAAGACATCTGGAAGCCAGACGGGGCTGGGACCACATTCAAACTCCAGTGCCTCAACTTCGGTGCTGCACCTTTCGGTCTAGGGGATACTGTAAACAACATTATAGTAGCAGGTACAATAGAGCCTAACGCTCATTTCTAACCAACGCCTCCCTCTATGACGAAAATTTGTATTTATTTATTTTCAATACTACTAACCCCATTCGGGGTTGTTGTAGGGTGGTACAGTTCAAAATATTACCTACAAGCAAAAAAAAATATATTCAACGCACAATTTGCGGGTCAACATTCGAAGCAAATATAGAAGTCAAGAAGGAAAAATTATAGTAAACAACTTCCATACAATAGATACATTGCACTTTTAAAAACAGCATAAAATAATAGTTCACGATGAAATGTGGGCATCTACGTAATCGAGGAAGATTTCAATAGGAAGAGGAATGAACAACATTTTGAGGCAGGTGGTTCCATTCGTTAATGGTTCGGGGAAAAAAAGAGAATTTAAAGCAGTTATTACGAGCGACGTCTTCCTCGTAAAGCTTGCCATGGTTGCACCGTGTTAATCGTTTGCTTGTATGGATAAGATCATTTTCTTCTGGTACGTTGAAGTGATCGTTGGCCAATTCCCATAGAAATTTAAGTCTAGCCATTTTTGCTCTTTTTTCTAGAGAGGAGAGACCCAGTTGCCAGCAGAGTTCAGAGGGAGAGACGTGCCTACTATGTTTATAGCAAATAAACCTCGCGGCCATTCTCTGAACTCTTTCTATCTTACTGATGACGGAGACCGTGTGGGGGAACCAGACGACGTTGGCGTACTCGAGCGTAGGACGTTTTAAAGTTCTGTAGGCTAGTCATTTAGCGGCTTAAATGGGAAAATGCCCACTTAAGGGGAGACCCTGCTCCTCGAGGCAAAAGTATACTAAGAAAACATATGTTTGTGTCTTCTTAGCCTACTGTAGGCGTGCGTCATGGGGTCCAAGATTGGCAGGCACTTAATGCCTTGTCCAGAAGGAGTTTCGTTAAATGATGTCCCTTATCTTGAAATGTTGTCTCGGAAGCAAAATAAAATGGGCCTGTGAATGTTTAACGATAATAATCCCTAGAGAAGAGGACAAAGGACAAACAAATCTCCAAACACAGCTACGTCATTCTTGTCTCGCACTTTTGCATAATACAGTGTAGACCGCATATAACGTATGTCGCGGGAGTCGCGAAAATCCGCACTATAAGCGGTACCGCGCTATAACCAAAACATCAATTTTTCAGGCCAAAATACATGCCGTGAGACAACTTACCTTTGTAAAAGAATTTATTTTATGTTAGATGCAAAATAAAGCTTAGTTTGATGAAAGTCTTTATTTCACCAGACTAGTACACTTCTCTCTCACGTGTGTCACACATTTTGAAAGAAATGAGCGACTTTCGCCTGGCGCAGCCTTTTAACAGCGTCGCGGGTTGCGGACGGACGTTGCTAGCGTCCAGGATTGCTAACCCTAATCACTTTTCTCCGGAGACGAAAATGCATGAAAATTCGATTCTTTATATGGTACGCGCCAGTAATACCTTGAACTTCAGCACACGCATGAAGTGCGCCAAATAAGAAATCCGGGCGATGTTCGAGGACACAAATGCTTAGAAATCACCGCTGTAGTCGAAGTAAACAAACACGACGACACGGGCGTTTCTGCCGTCTTGAGAGCGCCGCTACGACATCGCCGCACGAGTAGGTGGATCTTCCCTTCTAGTACCTGCTGGGTTATCATAGCGACACACAACGAAAATTCACAGTCAAGGATAGCGCTTTTACGCGGAAGGATGAGATGAACGCTGTCTACGACGACGATTACAACCGACGCCATGTTTGCGGATAGAAGCAGCCGGCCCGTGGCCGGCATGCAACGCGCGCGAACACTTCTTCTCGACCTGAGATTGGTCTGTCGTTGTTGTTTGTTTCTTTGTTTGCAACGCAGCGGAGGGACGCACGCACGTGAACGACACGTGCGTGCATCCCTCCGTCGCTATGGCAAGTGAAGCCTCTCTCTTCGCTTCTTCCCGCTTCTTCGAGCAACCTCCTTGCCCCGCCAGTGCCGCTTGCGGCCAACTTGCGGCTCGCGCCGTCAGCGCCGTTATCTAGTGTCGCACAGGGAAGCGTGCTCGCTGCTCCGGTCGTCGGCGCGGTCGGCGGGCTGTGCCAGAAACCGCACTATAACCGGTATTTCCCTTTGCGCGCCTGCATTTTAAGCGGTATGTAATCACATGGAGTTCTATGGGAGGCGAACCGGTGGTTTAAAAAAACCGCGTTATATTCGGTCCTGCACTATAAGCGGTTACGTTGTAAGTGGTCTATACTGTACAGTAAACCCTCACTTGAGCAAATGTTTGTTTTTAACAAATATTTCACAATAATTAACTTTAAAAAAAAATCCCCGGTGGTTTTCTTACGCATTGTGTTCAAAAATGTTTCAGTTAAAGGAAAAACAAATTTCAAGATAGCGAATACAGTAGAACCTCGTCAATACGTACTCGGTTGATCATTTTCCCGGCTGTTACGTTCAAAAACGCCGGTCCCGTTTTACTTCCGTAAAGACACATGTATTAGTAGTTTCGTGCCTGATATGTTTGCTTTACCGGTTGTTACGTCCAAAAGCGTTGGCGCCTCGGCGTGCCAGGAGCCAGGCTGCCACGCTGGCTTCAAAGCGAAGCTAACGGAGCAAAAGCCGAAGCGTGCAATGTGGCTCGCAGGGCGTGCGTGGGCACGCAGACGCCCCCCTTCCCTTTACTCCTTCCCCCCTCGTCTTTCCTCGCTGGGCTTTGCCGAGCTCTGCCACAGCTTCCCATCTTGACCGGGGGTGACCTTAGAGCACTGCTCGGACGGGGAGAGAGGCTGGAAAACGCTCCTTCTCTCTTTCCTTCTCTTTCTCTGGCACGAGATGTATCCACGCTGTGCTTCTAGTTTCTGTTCCGCTCGATTGCGTGAACCGTGGTGTTTACGAGTAGGTGCGCTTTGCGCCCATTGACGACGGTCGTGGCTTCGCGAAAAAGGAAGGCACTCTCTTTTAAAGAGATGGATCGCAATCCCAGCCGGAAGAGATCTGATATCGCGAGAGGCCTCGCACCGTCAACTTTGAACAGCATCGTCGCCAAACGAAAGTAGATCGAGGCGTTACCTCTGAACCGCACAGGATAGCGGACATCGTGGCCGACCTCACTACTGCCGACAACGAAGAAAGTGATGAAGATGTCGAGCAAGAACCAAACGATTATGCTACACCCACGTTTACGGATGCATTGCGTTGGGTTGGGCACCTTGCGCCGCTACGTAAATGTTCACGACTGCACAAAGAGCAAGACGACTGCAGTCCAGGAGAAACTGCTTTTACTGCGTAACATTAATTCGAAGCGGCGGGCGGATATTATCCGCTTTTGTGATCATGTCCGAGTCCTCAACAGTTCTGTAAGTACACATAAAATAAACCATTGTATAAGAGCTGCTTTCTATCTCATGTAGAGCCCCCCTAGGTGCATAATTGGCTGCTACGTTTTCCCGGATAATAAGTTTTTTTTCCGCGGTCCCCTGGAAAACATATCAACGAGGTTTTACTCCATTTCAGTTCAACGAACTTGATCGGTGGACCCAGGATTATTTTTGTAATCAGTTAAAGTTTTGTGCTCCGCAGCGCTGGCACAGCCGATGCCCGCCGCCCCTGCCTGCCACCGCCACCTCTGCAGCGGCAGCGTATCATTGCCGGCATTTACAGCGCTGCTGAGGCAAAGCAGCAGTGCGGTAAACGAAAACAAACCAGCAGGTGTGTGTTTTTTCTTTGTCATTGGTTCCGTTCGGCCATCTTAGTTTTGGGTAACAACGGCAGGACGGCAGTTTGTGCGCCCACTTTCCTAATGAGTATGATGAAACGGACACGGTTGTCTCTATCAGACAAGCTCAAAATCCTTTAGTGTCTGGACAACAATCAAAGGCAAGCGCACATTGCGAAGGACTGTGGGATTCCATCGTCGACGTCAACAATAGTGAAGCAAAAGTCAAAGCCTGAAGGAGAAACTGCGTTCAATCCCAACAGGAAACGACTCTGGACGGGAGGACCTGCTCAGATCAGTTTTGATTGCACTTCAGCTTGTGTCTTAGACGAGCGCGGGAGCGATTTCAACTGCGCTTAGCAGCACAGATGAACAGGAGTGGTTAGGGACCTAGGCAGACGGGATAACAGTGGAACAGATGTGAAAACTTGAAACTTTGTGAGCCTTAATGAGGACCAAAAGGCAAGTACCCTATGTTTCTGAAGATAGCGTCCTTGGTATTTTCCGAGTGGCTTTCAGCTGCTCAAAATGCCAACCAGCATTGCTTATCGCACAATTCACACGTGCTCAAACATAGTAATTATATTTGCGAACCACGGGACGTGCGTAAGCAACGGACGTGCAGTTGCGCGGAGGAACAGGGCAAGAAATTTCGAGTTTATCCTATTGTGCAACTCGATATCGAAGCAGCAGACTACGATTAACAGAGTTATCGTATTTGAAGCAATAAGCAGGAGCAAGGTTAAGGTACACCGAGCTGATCTATCGCTCGCGTGAGAGCTGCTGGCTGGCAAGGTTTCCCATCAGACCGCGTTTCAATTGTATCAAATCCCGACTCATCTTGCAGAATGCGGTTTCAACTTCTAACGATGAAGTACTAAAAGGAATCTTTTGCTCATTTGAACTGGCTGACGTCCAGAACCCGGGCCGCAGAGCCTCAGGCAATCTGACGCTCAACGACTCGACCCCACCTCATCCAACTATGGCTGAAGAATAACAATCCAGTCGCGGGTGAAATGGCCCTTGGAATCCGACCCCAGAGTTTCTTCACGCGCTTCCGACTCTGGATACACGGGGAGAATAAACAGAACAAAAGATTGCAAGGCCGACCAAGCTAAACGCGCTCATGGTTGCCAATCGAGTCGATAGAAATCGAAACTAAGACAAAATACAATATTTTTTTGGCACACATTCTGCAATTTGGTGCATAATGGGGCGAGGTATTGGCTGTGGCGCACCTTCCGCAACATGGCGCGGAAAAATGCGTCCGGTGCAAAATGGCGCAAATGGCGCAGCCGTTCCACCCCTGTATTTTAGGGAAGCCATATCTCCACTTGCACATATCCATAATGTTTTCTTTCTATGGTAGGTACCATGTGTGGCATAGGCAATAAGGGGTATAAATATATTAAATATGGTATCGGGCTTTCTTGAAGTGCCTTTTAGGCATCCTGCAATAAATTATTTTGAAACTGGAAAATTCAAGTGTCCAAAAAAGCTTATATATCATCCTGAAGCTTTTATTTACATCTTATTGAATTCTACCGATCTTTTAGCTTGGTGATATATGCTTATTTATTTATTTCAGTATTTCACCGTGCCTTAATCCTCCCCATAATCTTTGCAAATGAAATTTTCAAAAGGAAGAAAATATAAAAATATAAATATAAAAAATAAATAAATTAGGTTACATCAAAACCAAGTACACATTTGTAGTCTGATGGCAGTGGTGGATAAGCTATGTAAATTTCATTTAAATTGAATCAAGTTACATAAAACAAAGCTCTAGAAGTAGTGTTGCCCCTTAACAAAGTAAAATAACAGTCCTGGCCAATCTCTTATGTGTTTCTCTGACCACTACAACGAATTACCGGAATTATAAACTTTCTGGGTGAAAAGTAATCGACGACATAAATTGTCACTCTCAAGCGTAGAGAAGAAGAATACTGCAACAGCGGTGACGGTCGACACCGCCGCCACGCCCCTCTGCCATCGTCGCGCCGCACATTCTCGGGTCCAAATGATTTGCTAGTGTTTCCGTTTAGATGGCACTATGTGACTATGTTTCTGCATAGAGAGATTGAAGAGAGGGTTCGTCCGAAACAATGGGCGAGCATTTGCAACTTGTGACGGATGCCTTTCCCGCCGATCGGTCACAAGTGCGCATGCGCTGCCATTGTTGCAAGGCGAGAAGAAAAGCCAACGGAAAGGCAGATTTTGGGCGGACACGCTCGCAGACGATCCACGCTTTCGTCACCTCCTCGGAGCTCGCATTGCAAACGCGACCCATAACCCACTTGACCCCGACGGAGCAGTTGGAAACCCTGCAATGCCTTTACGGCTGCGAAATGTCCGCACGCACCCGCACATACCGTGTTTGCATGATTCTAAGGCGCACATTTCCCCCAAATCAATGACCAAAACCACATGCGCGTTACAATCGAAACCAAAAACCGAACCTAAAGAAAAACACGACACTCGGTTTAAGGTGGCTAGCCCCATTGCCATCATGACTGTTTGTTTACATTCGCAATTATGATGTTTGTATCACAAGCAATCTTTCACACCTACAGATTTGTGTTTGCTGTTTTAAGAGGGAAAATAATTTCATCAGGAGGCCTTATTAAAACGAAAGATTGTCACGCTGGCGGGAAAAAACAACAACGAAGCAGCACTGCGTGGCCTCGCAATCTTGGTGACCCGACAAGCTCGCAAAGCGGTGCTTGGAAGACGACCCTCCCAAAGGCGACGGCCGCACACTCGTACATGCACAGGAAGCGCGACACTTGAAACGCTTTAGACCAAAGCAGGGATCACCTCTGTGGACAGCGAAGAACCATCATTGGACCCTGACAACTGCGGACTAGTGCACGGCATTTATTTTTGCGTTGGCGTTCGCTTCATAAAATCCCTTCTACGAGGTATCTGTTCAATCTTCATTATCTTGCCCGTCCGGTAGGATCGGAGACAATTTACTTTTTGAGTATCTGAAAGCTAAATCTGTCTGCGCGTTAGAATCGGGGGCGCACTAGAATTGTGCAAACACTGCATTTTCCTTTTGCTCACGCCACGGGGTGTGCACCGCTCCACCACTCTGCTCCAAGACGAGGTGGCACCGCCTTCCCAGCCCGAAACGGCAAAAAGATTGTGATGCGAAGCCAGTAAATGTTTTCGCTGCCAGATAGAGTGGCCGTCGTACAGAATCCAAACAGATGCGAAAAAGAGCTCAGTCGACTCGATTGTGCCCCACTCCCCATCCTCGCCTATTCTGTAGTGCTGCTGCAGAGCAGCGCAGCCGCATCGAGAGTTTCCGAACAACACGTCGCGGCACAAGCTGCTGCCCGATTCAGAAAAGGCCAAATCTAGACAGTCGGCAAATGCCTCTCGTTCGCTGCGTGATCGGGGGTTGATATCGGTAGTTTTACCGAAATTTGCATTATAAAAAGTAAGCTAATTAAATTTGTTGCGTGGAAGTTTGGACAACGGGAAATCAGTCGGCAGCAAAATTTGTTATCTCCAGCCGAGACACCGGGCACTCCACCTGGTGTCTCGCCTGGAGATGGCCAATTTTGACAGGGCGGCACTGGCGGTACGACCACTAGCCCGGGAAATCGCGTCACGCAGAGATGAGTACACCAACATGTGCCGGTACAAGTTTTATCAAGAAGTGGTAATCGAGCTCAAGACGCTTGGATTCTGTAGCGCGAGTTTCCGCCCCACGTGCTCAGAGCTGCAACGCGCTCTCGGCCACCGTTCCCCCTTTCGATACATCCATCGTCAATGTATAAAACCTCGTTTTTGACGTCGCTCGTACTATATTTGCCACTATACTGTTTCCCAATACACCTCGAATGTTGCAAAGTTACGTCAATACGCAATAACACAAATTAAGCTTCGCAGGATTTTCGCGCTCAACTACTACAACAAAGTTGCCTGACACAGAAAGAATAAAACAAGCTCGGATGAAAATCCGGTCGTCCTTTGTCCCGAGCTTGTTTTATTCTTTCTGCGTCGGTCAATTTTACCAACAGGCTCTTCAGTTAATGTGAAAGTTGCCTGTACTACGAAAAATTTCTCTGGTCCAGCGGACTTTGTTACAGAGGTGTTTTGACTGTATTTAATTGGTCACAGCACCGTTTTTTAAGCACCACTTTTTTCTCTGCTAGAATAGCTTCGTTGTACTGACTCTAGAATAAGGCCACGACTTTCTCACGGACCATGTGAAAGCCAATCAAACATAGATCGCAAATAACGAAGCAGATACAAAATTTGAACCCACAAATGGGATCCAAACTGAAGGTCCGAGCATGCATTCGTCATAGACAGCGTTTTAACATTTGATAGTACGGGGAGCTGAAAATCTACGGGGAAATACATTAATGGCTGTCGGGGAAAGAAATCCTATTTTCACCTCCTAGCTTCCAGCTCAGGTACACCCTAAGTTGGAACAATCGCACGCTGTAGTTACTTTCGGGAAGAGTTTCGGCTCGCCGGGAGGCACCATTAATTTATACGGCATTAAAAGGACGCCAAGGTTTCTTTGGCACGCCGGGCACTCGAATCTGTCAAAACCTGGGGCACCAGGCCGCGAGGTCCCGCTCACCGAGGCCCCCGGCAGCTGTAGCTGGGACATCTGCGCGGTCAGCTGAGGCAGGATTGGGCTGTAGGCGTGCGTCATGGGGTCCAGGGACGAGGGAATCATCTGCACGGATGCGCACGGAGGTCAGCTCGACACCGGCACTCCCACGCCGCTTCGAGGGTCGGAAGGCTCCCTTCGAGCATCCGCACTGGTCTCGCAAGGACAGCCGCGGGGGCCGCCACAAGGGCACGCAGAGCCAGAGGGGCGCTTGCTCCAACAACGTATCGAGGAGAGTCCAGAGAGACGAAACCAGGACCCACGACAGACATGCCAGATACGGCTCGTTCACACCCTCGCGTTTGCTTAGGACCGACTTCTTGCCACTTCTTAAGAGGAGAGAGCACGTTGTGCCATCTATGAGGTGACCCTGGAACTCCATTTCATTTAAGGTTGTGCTGTATTTGCGAGATCAAATGTGAGTACTACATATAAGGAATGGTAGTATGTTGTCAAAAGTGTGTCGAGCTCAAAAAAAGGAAGGATGCATAAAAGATATAAAAAGTGCCAAATGTTACGAGGCTAGCCGATAGGTGGCGCCAGAGCGGTGTCGGGAGCAGCAGCAAAAGGGCCTTAGGGGAGGTACCTGGGCAGCGGCCGTCATGTGCGGGGCTTGCATGATGTACTGGGTGGGGTGGACCCATGTGGTGGCCCCGGGCAGCGCATACGTCGACACGGGGGCCGTCGAGTATGTCCGCTGGTAGCTACCCAGGGCCGGCAGCAGCTGCTGGGCCACCCTGCACCACCCACACCCCGCTTGGGACCCGCCCTCCGGGCATCACTCCCTCCGCCCCCGGAGACACACACTCACCCATTCTGAGAAATTGCACTCTGGTCGTACGTCAGGGGAATGCCCTGCAAAGCAAGCGCACCGGCGTTGGTGACAAGCACCGACAGCCCTCCATGGAAACTAGCCTAGCTCAGACAGAACACCCCATTGCCCACATGCTGCTGGCTGGCGAGGGACCAGCACTACGTGTACACTACAGACACCCCCGAATTTTCGCTAGACCATAGCTTCAAGACGGCTCGGCCACTGTGTACGATTGTAGAGGAATACAGCAGACCCCCACGACGCCGTTGAAACAGTCTTTGCCGAGCATCTCTGGACAAGAACACACGGACCCTTCCAAGCTCCGGCCCATTGGTGTGAATTAACGGGACGCCCCTTAATGCTCGGCAGAGAGGCATCGCTAGTCTGCACTTTGCGTCGACCAGCGAGCAGTTGAGTCGAGACAAAGGAAGACTAACCATGTACCCAGATGCGTTGCAGAGCAGTCGGAAACACGAAAGAAGTTACAATGACGAAGGGAGTTTTAACGGAGGGAGAGGAACGGAGTGGCACGCTTTCAGCTTATCACAACCTCCGTGTTTTTGCGTTTTAGTACCCATAACCGCCCACTAGTGTGCCCACTGGAATTGACAATGTTCTGGATGGAGAGAATGGCGTGCACCCCTCCTCTCCTTCAGATCTGGGCCACCCACCTCCCCGTCGCGCCACATCCGGTGGTCGTGGTTCTTGTAGAGCGTGCGCTTCTTGTTCCCTCCGTCTGCAAACTTCACCAGCAGGGGCTCCTTGGACCCTGCAAGGAGCGTCAGTGCGCACCTGCATTACAGACACGCCTGCGGAGCCATTCTATCTCTGCGTCTCCCAGTGTCACCCGCACCATTATTTACACCTCCACAATATCGGCGCGGGCTGTGCCAGTAGAGAACTGCAGCAAGAACTCCGTAGCAGAGATAACAACACACCCAGTGATGCGATTGGTCAGAGTCCTTTAGGAATAGCTCTTGGAACATGAGCACACAGTGAATTTCCCATCCTACCACTCCAAATATTCTGTTACGATTAATCTGTCGGCTCGTCCAACTAGAAGGCAATGTCTACTTTGCCTTCTCACTTGCACGCAACCCTCCGTTAGCATTGATTGCACAGCAGGAGCGATTCCCTCAAACACAAAACTAGCGTTTAGTTGCCAGAAGCACCAGACACAGTAACAAGAAAATGACTCATGAAAGACAACACAAACTGCTGTGAATGGTTATTTTAGGTACTGAATCCCACTGAACTGTTACGATACAATAATTTTGAGAATATAAATTAATGTTTCCTTCAAGTTCTAGAGGTTCGAATAAAACTGCAATTTATATTTTAGATAAAAAAAAGAAAGCATCCGTCATTTTATTATGAGCATCAATTACATTTACTGTAAACAACTTATTTTTCGGGGGCTCAATATTTCGCGATTTCGATCAAAGCTCAAGTTTTGGAATAATTTGCGGGTTCCAATTTTCGCAATGTGGTGGGATCTCAATATAGATTCCAATGTGTTCTCATTTTACCAAAATTGTTCGCCAAACCTATTTTTCGCAAATTGCAGGCAATTCGCAAAATTCGCAAGAATTAGGTTTTCACAAAAATTAAGTTGTTTATAGTATGTAGAACTTCATAATGAAAATTGGCACGTGATCAATATGCCCGCTTAAAAACAATCCCGCCGAACTAGTTAAGGTCCCTGCCGAGCTTCCAGCCACTGCTCTTGCCAATTTAGTTATAATTTACTCGCAGCTAGATAAAAGTGACAACTAAGCAAATGAGTTGGCATTAAAAAATACACCTACAAAAGAGTGCAGATAAGTCTTCTTGCAATACAGAAGCATCTTTGCCAAGTCTCGGAATGAAAAAAGCTACTGCCAGGATATCGCAGTCTATCCTGTATACAAGCCGAAGCCGTATTCAGAAACTGTGTCGAGTCTCGCTCGGGAGGAGTGCTTCCCCCTTAGCGTGGGTGGCGCTGCGTCGAAGCAAGACACGCCAAAATCGCGATGCCTGCTCCACGCTTGTCGCTTCTCCGCAGTACACTGTACTCCGCTTCACGATAACTTGGCCAACTGTACGGCTGTCATGATTCTAAGAAATGACATAAAAGGAAGCTGAAGGGGCAAGAAGGAAGACGATGCCACGTGAGACAACGAGGTTAGAAGAGGAAGAAAAAGGATGGCGACGCGGGGGTCATCGAAGACTGAGACCGGGAGGAAGCGGCGGATGGGGGCTACGCTTCGGGACCCTTGCTGGGCACAAGCTGTCCCAAATAAGGGTTCCCCTTCAGAGGCCCAGGAGGCAGGGGCCTTTGCTGCCTTGGGCAAGCCGCTTCGTCCACGCAACTAACTCAAACTGTAAGGCCTGCTTCAAACAGCTTCATTTCTTGGAAGTGTAGATGTGCTTAAGCGTGTGTGTACTATTTCACCTTTCACTGTGTACATAGACCCTTGCTTTCCGTTATATATTCGTCTTCCTTTTGTAAATATAATGGGTCGTAAATTATTCGTTTTCGGCCTCGCCTCTATTGCATTCGCAACGTCTCCGCCCGAACCATGACAACGGCCCCCGCGAACCAGTAAGAATTTTGGAGGGAGGCACGTGACACCACGTCACAGGGACGTGCCTTTTAACTGCACCAAATGGGAAGCCCGGAGGAGCCGGCTGTCGTCCGCTGGCCAAGAGCCGTCTGCTGCGAAACCAACCAACTTCGGACAAACATTCTCTGGCTCAACATTTCCATCTGCTAAAGTAGCGAGTTCTTCAGGAACAGTTCATGAAACAGCCATAAGCTCAGTTTACCCGCAAAACTTTGACGGGTGCTAATGCCAGGGCAATGTTTTCGGCGGAAGTGGTCGATTACACGGCTGCGATCGTTAACGGCCACGGCGTTACGTGAAGAAACAAATCGGGAGCGAATACGGATGTGGCGTCACTTTTTTGGTTTGAATATAATGGCAACTCATAAATTTGTGCATGTTTATTCCCTACATTTTATATATTTTTGATAAAGATAGAAACGCGAGAGTTCAGTTGTCCTTAAAAGAAAATACGAGGCCCAAAACTACTTTTTGTAGCAAAAGGCGCTGTTGCTGCGGCGGTAAGGAGGCCCCCGTTGCCTCGACCATGGAGTGTTATCCCGTGCCTTGCTCCGACGCCCTTAAAGGGCAACTCCGCTCAATTCCGAAAAATTTAGGCTTACATGCGATTCCATTTCATAAAGCGGATTCGCGAAATGTGGAATATTATTTGTGTAATCCTAATTTAAACATCAGGAGATACCGAAACCGAAACTTTGGTTGCGTCAGGCAACATTGGTCTCGGGTCGTCAGAGTCATGGCCACGTCACGTCGAACCACGTGGTCTTGTGACGTTCGGGGGGGGGGGGGACAGGACATGCGACGCGGCAGGTCGCTTCGCATGGCACGGACGGTGACGGCTTGGGGAGAGGGGGAGAAGCCGAAAGAGGAGAGGGGGAGCGGAGGAACAGACTGATAAGCGCGCACGGCAGCGCAAACTAGCGCATCCGTGTTACGGTGATCACGTGGACGCCGTTCAGCCAACACCGGGAGGAGAAACTCATGACGTCATCGTTCAATTTCGCTCCGAGAAGTAAAAACAAACAAAACGTAAGAATGACATAGTCAAGCCTCTGACGTAGTGGCTCAACGTTGGCCGCTCCAACTCCGTCGCATTGACTGCGCTGACGATTGCGCCTCACGTCGCACGCTAGAGTTGGCAGATTTCGGCGACTTGGCTCACTTGAAGGTTTGCTGGCCAGCTTATTAAATATATAGACGGAATTAGATCGTAATATTTGACATGGGGTCTTCCTATATGATACTGAGGAGGGTTTTCTAAATATCAAAAATGAAGCGCAGTTGCCCTTTAATGGGTCGCGGAAGCCGCAGCCTCTACAGTTGGCCAAGTTATTGTGAAACGGAGCATAATATGCGGAGGGAAGCACACTCAATGAAACTACCTAACCCGCAAGAACAAACCATGAACATGACCATTACTGCGAAACTTCCGAGTACTGTCTGTCTTTAAAGGGGTTATGACATGAAAATTAAACGAATAGATTATTCTTGAAATAGAATGCTCTTAGGCTACTTAGTATATACACCAAGTTACGCGATTTTTAGAGCTCTGGTAATAGCAATATTCAATTTACGAATTTTTATAATTTTCATCTGGCGACCAGGCAACACTGCCCAAGTTAGTCACACCATGGTGTCCATAAACCACGTGACCATGAACACTCTCTCATTCTAGGCGCCCCCATGATTGCTCAAGCTCTCCTCGTCGCGGTACGATCAAAACCGCTCACTCAACTCGGTAACCCGAAAGCTATTCTCGCTCTCACCCCAGCCCGTTGACCTTCCACCCTGCATGCGCCTGGGAGATATTCCCGGACGACGATGACCACGGCGAGTTCGTCCGTTACTCGTCGTCGCTGGAGCTGGTCGCCAGCGGGTCGCAGTCAAAATGAACAGCTTCCAACACCTCTTGATAGCAATCACTTTCATCGCTGCTGCGATCAATGTCGAACACTTCGACAAGGCGAGCGATGCCGTAGACGTAATCGTCCCGAACCGCATGCTCGAAACGTGGAAGGTAAACGAGGAAGCTGCTCGATACGCCAAGAGTGCCAAGACTGTGAGTGCGTGCAAGGAGACACCGCGCTGGAGGCTGTCTACGTCATCAGCCTCCAGGTCCGCCCGGATCTGCCCCTTCGAGGGGCCCGCATATAGATCGATTTATCCACGAAATTATCGCGCCTTTTTCAAAACAAATTTAGCAGGATTATAGGAACATACAATGGGTCCTAGCAGTACCGTTATCTCATATTTTATTTTTGACGTGTCATAACCCCTTTAATACAAAATGCAATAGAATAGTACGTTATTTGAGGTCATAATCAAAACTTCAATAGTTCTGAAAAATTGCATAAGCCTATCATAACAGTCTGACCCGAGTACAAGGCCCGAGCTATTGTATTTTCAGTATATTAATAAAGTGAAATTAAGTTTTGCCAGAATGTTAGTGCAAATTCCTGATATTTTGGTAAAATGTAGCATTGTATAGCAGGGGAAGCACATTGGCGCAGTTTGGCGCAATTGTCGCAGCAATCACATCATTGCATACCACAAAAAAAATCTAAAAAAACAGCACTGTTTCTTTTCTTTTTTTTTCCAAATTCAATGGCTCATCTTTTTAGGTGCGGTCCACACACGGATAAAAACAAAATAGCTTTGGATGTGCATCAAGAAATCTATGTGCTCGCGATCGTAGCCGGTGGTCTAGAGCACCTTCATTTCGGTCTTGATCGCAATTAGTGCTCGAGTCTGACCAGCATCAACAGCGGCCAGAGTTGCTCTTTTTGGTCGTCCAGTAAGTGCCTTTCGAGGTTCAAGTTAGCCATTCAATCCGTAGAATCTCACCCCAACGTCCGTTTCGATGCCGACGCCGGGCGACCGCAGTGTACCAGTGAGCTCGCTTCGGACCAATCGCTTTGTTCAGCACCATAAGCAGATCTCGTCAACACCGTATTCGCAACCCGTTGCATGCCCGCCGCGCTCCAAGGCAGGAGTGACAGTTTGAAAGTACTTGCCCACTGCTCTCAGGTTGTGGGACCCACATAAACCCACTTAGCAAAACAAAACATTCACCAAGTCCACCTGGCCTAACGGTGACATTTGAAAACCAGAGTCCAATTTATCACGTGGGCAGAAGGTGACCGTGGATAAGACAAAAACCATAAAAAGGACAGCTTTCTGAGCCTCCCGTAATGTTTACTTGCGCTCAAAAACACGGCAAAAGGCGCGAGCAGAGCCACGTGCATGGCGGGGTAAAGATGGCGGGGACGCGGAGCTGGAGCCACACTGTGGAAGCAGTTGGCACGCCTCGGAAAGAAGGGGGGTGCGGCTAATGCGCAAATAATTTCTAAAAACTCATTTTTAATATTTTGGTCTACATACGAGAATGTGTGGCTTTTACATGAGCTTGGCCCACACACACAGTTATATGGTTCCCAGACAAGCTTTGGTAACCGAAGAAAGTACATCCACAGCGCACCGTAGTGACAGAACCCCAAATATTTTTTCACGCCCAATCCACGCAAACCCTCGAGGCTTTGCATATCGCCTGCCTTGGAGCTCTAAAATGACACACTGAACATGTAAGAACGCTGCCACTGCAAATTCCCGCCGAAAATTCCGTGCGCAAATTGAGACTGACCGGGCAGGACCTTGGTGTTGAATGTAGCAATGATGTGTTCACATTTCTCTTTAGACTCCATCCTGCGCAACAAAGAGAAAGCAGGTCTTAGCCATGAAAGAACCCAAACGGGCAGTGCACGCAAAACACTGTCCTCCATAAGCCTGCAGCTAAAAGGCAAGCGGGAGGAAAAGAAACAAAAAGGCAAGCGGGAGGAAAAAAAACAAAAAAACATTACGCAACCACTTTTTTTTTTTTTTTTTTTTTTTTTACCTATGCACCTAGCCAGTTTTAATGATACCTAGCAGCCAGGCACGTAGCCAGGATTTTGTTTCGGGGGGGGCCCGCCCATGACAAAATTCTGTATGAGGGGGAGGGGGGAGAGGAGGTCCCAGCAAAATGGAAGATTTCAGGGGGGGGGGGGGGGGGGGGGGGGGGGGGGCCGGGCCCCATGGGCTGCCCCCCTGGCTATGTGCCTGCTAGCAGCCACTATCCGCAGGTCCTTTGGTGTGCCCCAATAAAACCAATTGAAATGTTTTCAAGGTCGATGAGGACACTAACAGCGAGACTTTGTGATCCTACACAAAATAATGACAATTAAAAATGGATCTGCAATAACAGCTAATACGTCGACACTATTAACTGAACGGGCAAGAGAAAGGCAAAGGCGCCCAAGACTGATTGCAGAACTCTAGAGCAGTGGTTCTCAAATGGGGGTCTGCGAAGGGATTCTAAGGGTCCGCAAAGCCCTGCCTCATCAGTCAAGCACGGCAATAAGCGTTGTACTTCTTTCAGGTTGAGAAGAACCGTCCCAATTTTCGGATGAGTTTATTCGCGTGCATGTCTTTGAGAGACGTCTACTTCACACTACCCCTGCCTATATCCATTTATGAAATCATTATTGCAATTAGCCCATACCTTTCCCTCCCTATGAACGGGATCCTCCATTATCTCGGCCAATCCACAAGGAGTCCGCGAAACATCAATGGTCGAGAACCACTGCTCGAGAGCATTAAAAAGTCCTCATCAGATGCAAGTTGTTCTCCAACAGCCTCTTCTTCGGCCGAAGGGGGCGCGTCATTAGAAGGAGAGGAGGAGCGCAGGCGAACCGACCGTGCAAAGCCGACGCCCCTGGACTGGGAGTTGTTGTCTCGTAGGATGCGAGTGGAGATGACGTTGCCGTGGTTCGACAGCATCTGCTCCAGGTCCTGCTCCACCATGTACAGCGGCAGGTTGGCGATGTACAGGTTCGTCGGGTCCTGCTCCTGTTGCTGCGCTCCCCAAAGGGGCACCAGAGAGCTGGGTCAACTCGGGGGACCTCCGCAACGGGGGTCCTTTCCATCTCGGGGAAAGCCAAGCAGTGCCCACGGACCTTGTAAGCAATAGTGCACATACCAGGGAGTGTCTGCCACATAGTTATGCACCATGGAATGGCTCAGATCATCTGGGTTTGTTCTTTGTCCCCCTTCTCCAGGGACTATTATTGTCAGTCTGGTCAGCTCGCTCGCATTATTGTATTCATTCCATTACGCTCCAACTTGGGCTCGCCTAGGACTGCGGACAGCCAAGAAAATTTGGAAACCCCCTCCCCCCGAGGGTGCCAGGGTTTTCAGAGGGATCGATGCCAAGTTCTTTGTGCTGAATGCCAGAAACATTCCCGACTGCTAGGCGCATAGTAATGAGAACATGCATGGAGGTGGACGCAGAAAAACTGGACAATCCAAAATCTGAAGCCAACGTGACATTTTTTATAACTATCCCGATGTAAAGTTAGGAGAATAATAATGCTTCAAGAACAAATTCGCAGGGGTTGCACGATCGCAAAACGTTTCTGGGGGAAATTAGGCGTCTGCAGTAGGCGATGCATGCGTCACGAGGACTGAGCAGGCCAAATTGGTTGATGCCAGTCGCGCGAGCACAGATTTTGCGAAGGTGTGCGAGGGCATTCGCCGCTCGCCCCGTCTTCTGCACAACTGCCGCCCCTCGTGTCATTTCAAATCAAAGTGAGACGTCCGAGCTTGCACAAGGCTTACCAACAGCGTTTTTCTGAAGCGTGTGTATGATGTTAAAAATAGTTTCCATTTTGTATATCGAGCAAAAAGCGAGCAAAATCATTTTCTCTTCCGTTCTTCTATGCACACATGAGCGGAATTAAAACACCGTTGTCAGACACTGCTGGTGATCGAGACCTGGTGCTATACTCGGGGACAACTTTTCTCGGCATTTCCGGGGAGAGGAGGAGAGACCGCGCACAGCTTTATTCAGCACTCAAAATGAGAGAGGGAACACGTGCCTGAACCTTCCACTGCATTGCCAAGAAAAGTTGTCGCAAAGTACAAATTTATGTTACTCTGCAGCTTTTGGGACTTCCCGCAGCGACTCCAACGTCCACTGTCTAGACGATCCTCTCGCGAGAAGAAACGAGGACAACTGCGACAGCCTTCCATCGCGGCGGAGTGTCTCGCGTTGAGGAGAGAAGGCAAGTGCGAACCTTGGCCATCTGTGCCTGGACCCCCTGAGCCTGGAGCGCCTTGACAGCTTTCTCGGCGGCCAACGGAGATTCAAAGTCCACAAATCCATAGCCTGAAAGGGGCACACACGCACAATGGGTACTTTCAGAGGGAGAGCACGTACGGCCAGTGATCAACAGAGCATGGCACATCTGACCAACCACACTAGGCAGGAACAGTAACCGAAACACTAGGGACATTATCCGAGGCTAAAACGTAGAGCGGCTAAATGCCCAGTGTGTTAGAACCCCGTCTCTAGCTTTGTCGGGGAAGGAGTTATATTACTTAGTCAAGTTCAAGGAGGTTTTGAATTGTTTCGTTCAACATGTCAAAGGGAAAAAAAAGAGTAAACAACAACAAAATTTTAAAGTCAGCGCTGCGCGAGTGTCCCCCCTTTTGTGTGCCCGCGTAAATTGTGAGACTGCTTTTGAGCACCGTAGCATTGGAGGTATCGACAAAGCGGTTCCCAATTCGACTCCAGCGCATCTCCCAAAAAGAATGACGGGGCTTCGCCCATCAGCGTCGGCCGCGACAAGGGCCATCCCAGTTGTACGCGGAACACCTCCGATGGGCAGATAAGGACAAATGGGCCGATCTGATATCGCACAAAAAAACTAGTTCTACGGGAATGTTAAATAAAAGCGTCCAGCTTTCTTTTTGTTTTCTACTCCTTTCTTTATGCGTTGTGCCACGTGGAAACTTGCATGGGGTACGGGGCATCCGCCGGGTGTTTTTATTTACCTTTTGTCCTCGCCACCCCACCGAATGGCTAATAATTGCAATATCATAAAAATCTCTCTTTATTCATTTGTTGGTGCTCGGAAAGCAAATAGATGGAGCAAATTTTATTCTAATGACAAAAAAATCAAGATAAACTGGAAAACTCAAAGTACTCAAAGACCTCTGGCAGTAGTCTCTGTACACTCCCAACACTAAGGCAACTGAAAAAGAACTGGGCGTCTCCTCCCAAAGGGCATGAAAAGTTGCGCGATCTTGCTCACCTTTACACTTGTTTGTGTCCTTGTCTAATATTGCTTTCGTAGAGATGATGTTTCCATAACTGCAATGCAACAGGAGAGAGGCAGGTCAAAGCAAAGCAGTATTCCCCAAACTGTGGGTCATCACCAGGGGCAGATTTATGGGGCAGACATGCAAAGAGATGTTACGTCACAAACAGATGTAACGTCGCGAGTGAAACCTTGCGCAGACAAACTTGCGTAAGTCCTCCTTGCTTTTTTTTTTTTAAGTGGCAGGTTTAGAGGGAAGGGGCAGTGTTCATGTTATGAAAAGAATGCAATTACACACTACCTAACCAGCGCACACAAAGCCCGAGGCTTCCAGACGCTTCCTGCTAGTCAGATTCCAGTGAAACATCTACATTCCACGAGCTCAAAGCGAAAAAAAAAAAACATTGCCCACAACTCGACGCCCCACAATGCCACTTCCCCGCACTGCCTCAGGCCGCCAGGTGACCGCTCCTCCGCCCATAAGGTACTGGCGGGAAAAGGAAGGCTGTGGCTCCTCCGTCCAACGGGAGGGGACTCACGGGGCGCACAGGTTGAGGAGGTCCTTGTCGGTGGTGGTGTGGGTCAGGCCCTTGATGTACAGGTTGGTCTTGCTCAGCTGCTCCCCTCCCGAAGAGCTGCTCGCAGAGCCCCCGGAGTTGATGCTCGACGCCGGTGGAGAGTTGGCCGCCACCCGGGCCCCGCCGCCCTGCTGCTGGTACGTCTGCAACCCACGCAGCCCTCTTTGTTCTCCCGAGAGAGTGCCTTTCCATCCGATTCCCCCATCCCGCTCGGAGGAGCCCAGGTTCCGGAGACACTCTCGGCTGCTTTTCAGACAACCTCACAGCGTTACATGTGGTCTCTGTCGTGGAACAGCCTCTTGCATTAGAGGAGCACGAATGCGTATTCAAAATGCATCAAAACCTACAAAGCACTAAAAAAGATCTGGACAAGACGGCCCAGCTTCTTAGAGGCCTCCCGCTTCCCGAATCGGGGAGATCCCATCCCCCTATGGAAAAAATATTCTATGCCTCTGGCAACATCGCTCTAATGTTACCAAAAAATATGCGAACTTAACCCTAGGACCGTTGGACTTGAAACTAAGACTCTTTTGCTAAGTGGACTACCTTTTTCAGAATTAGTCCAACAACTAAGACAGGCAAGGGAGCGTGACAAACATGCCCGAGAAGACTCTATTCTCTCCTGTACGTGAGCGAGAGGCCACCGCCTCCGCGCTAGTCGTGCAACTTCTCGAGTCCTTCGGCCAGGTGTCGGCTGCCACTCTGAGGCTCGTATGACCTGTTGCGACCTGGAATCTGGAGGAGAGGCTCTGTGCCCCAATTCCCAGAGAGAAATGTCTTCACTATGCCACTTGGTACAAATCCACCCCTTGTCTGACATGACAGAAAGAAAGTAGCCTCCCTTCTCATAACCACCAAATCATGTTACAGCATCTTCATGAGATCAGCTACTCTGCTACAAAAGGAGGCTTTTCCGAGTAATGACAATGATGACCCGCATGCTCCGCATTAGGCAACATTATCGGCATGTCGACTACACTTCTCTGCGCTTTTGGGTGACAAACTACTATTTTCAATACGCCCGAGGCTGCTATTCATATTACTAGGCCTCGAACAACTTGTTAGTAATACATTTTACATTTTCTGAGCAATGCTGATGCATTGAAATATGTTTAAAATCCTTGCCCGCTCAGGTTGCAAAAAGAAGCGCTTCCAGACGCTCAATGCATTTATGGTAAATCTGCCTAATCTACCTTATCAACGCAAACAAACTTCTGTGTGTCTCACTGTATTCTATACTGCAGAGGTGATGATATGCTAAATTTTCTCGAAAACCTGGCAGATAATGTGCGCGTGATACGTCGGCAGCATCACTGCTACGAAAAATCAAATGCAGTTTCGAATGCCCTTCGATGTACAGCATCTATGGACCAGACTCCATAGTAAAGTTGCACCCAATCGGCATTGAGGGACGTTGCTGGCAGAGCCAAAGTTCATAGGAGGTTCCTTTTTGAGACCTTCCCACCGGCTTCCTCTACCTTCGCGATTTGTTCAGACTTGCCAATCCGCGAGTGCAATCCCCTCTCTCTGGACACTATGCCTGCACCCTTACTCACCATGGCATGCATGCCTGGGAAACTCCCAGAGACAAGGAGGGAACAGCAAAACGATTAGACACAGACCTGCATCCAAAGGGCCCAGGGGAACCCCAAAGGGGCTTTGGGGCACGCACCAAAACACTCACAGAGCAGACGGCCAGAGGGTAGCAGGGTCACGTACCGAGTAACTCACCTGGAAAAAGAGACAAGAGAGAGGATAAGCGAGAGGGGCAGCCTGCAACGCATCCAAAGCACAAACTGGAAACAAAAAAGGAAAGTTCACATAAACATGCAAAAAAATCACACATAGAAAAACGGAACACAAACAGCACATTTTTTGACTTTCAAAACACATTTATTTATTTCCTGCAGACAGTGGAAGACTGAGCTACAAACTTGGCGGTCCACTGCCTGCAGAAAATAAACAAGATGTGCGCTGAAAGTAAAAAAATCTGCTCTTCGTGTTCCGTCCTATGTGTAATTCTTTAAAAAGTCTTTAGACCCCAAAACTAGCTAAAACAGATTTACTATGTGGCACACATCAAAATGTTAAAAAAAAAAAAAAAAAAAGTTTGGGCAAGTGTTGCCGCCGCTTCCCCCCCCCACTTTGCAGGTAATTTTGACTTGGGGGTGGCTTGTTTGGAATTTTACGGTAGATAGTCTAAAATTTAAAAAAGAAATGTGTTGTTGTTCTATAAGGACCAAATATGCTACCCAATTAAGTTTGTTGTTTTTACAACTTCTTCACTAAATGCAGCACACAAAAACAAACAGGAGCTGCCGTGGAAACGGAACTTGGGCTAAGAGCCAAAGCAAGACGATGGATGCAGCAAGGATTGAACCTGACATGAGTGAGTACGGAACACATTGCATGCACATGCACTTGCTCTCTTGTCGCAATCTGACGCATCCGTTCGGATTACAGTTCAGTCAGCACTGTTTGGGACACCTTCGGCGGAGCAACCTCGCATTAAACTAGGATTACGTCGAAGAAAAGATGAGCATTTTCTCATCATCTTCCAGCAATGTTCTTTCTTATATTTTTAAGAATTACCGTAAAATACTGGGCAAGCACCCACTCAAAATTTCCAGATAATAGCGAAAAAATCAATTTTTTGTATAAATGTACCACATATATTTTCTCAGAACTTACGAATTTGGGAATAGGCATAGGTGGAACGGGCAGATGCGCGGTATTCTATGGCAGTAAAACTCGCTTTCCAAAACAATCAACAAAGAAAAGAAGAAAAATGAACGGTAAAGAAATAATTTCCCCTCAAAATGGTGGATACTTGGGCTAGTTGGTGGTTGCTATACATAATTAAACAGCGCACAAGGAGAGGGACAGAAAAGGAAGACAGAACAGGCAAGCGCTGACTCGCAACTGACGATTTACTATGAAAAGGAGAAGGAAGAAAACTACACACATGAACATATATCGGAAAAGAGAAAGATGTGAAAAAGCTAATAAATTAAATAAAATTACACCTAAAATAATTATAGCTGAAAAGGAAAACAAAATAAAATGAAAATCAATCTCTCAAAGTCCTAGGCATGTCCAGTGCCGGCACTCCGAAGTCTTGACCATACACCTATTTGTGCCTAGGACTTTGAGAGATTGATTTTCATTTTATTTTGTTTTCCTTTTCAGCTATAATTATTTTAGGTGTAATTTTATTTAATTTATTAGCTTTTTCACATCTTTCTCTTTTCCGATATATGTTCATGTGTGTAGTTTTCTTCCTTCTCCTTTTCATAGTAAATCGTCAGTTGCGAGTCAGCGCTTGCCTGTTCTGTCTTCCTTTTCTGTCCCTCTCCTTGTGCGCTGTTTAATTATGTAATTTCCCCTCTCAGCGAGGGTTGAAATGAGTTTACGTCTGAAACACGGCTGCAGTGTGCCATGTTACGATGACATCTGCAACACCTTTCGTTTTAAGTATCTACTCCTCTTTGCCCGCCATTTTGGAAAACGAGTTATGCCACCTATAGTGAATTGGAGTCGCGAATAATATACACATGCATTTTGACCCTTCCCCCCCTTAAAAAAATCGCAGGGTATGCCAGTGCCTCCGTGCCAGTTTATATATCCTTTTTGTAAATGATGTTCCGAATATAAAGTACGCTTTAATTTGTAACGGCACATAGGGATCAAACTCGCCGGCAATGCAGTCCCAGGGGGGAAGTACCACGGGCGTTTATTTTTCCGTCCCCTTGCCGGGCGGCAAGTGCGCAGAGGAATGCGGGCTTGACGTCACCGGGGGGGGCGAGACCAAGCGCCGGAGGGGACAGCCGCCGCTGACGTCAGGCGCACGTCACCCGGCCTCTCCTCTTCCTCCTCCTCGCGCACACGACGGCCGCTGCGCAGCTCCATCGATGCGGGCGCCAATCGGGGCCTCAAAAGGGCCACCCAATTCCGAAACCAAATTTAAGCAAACTTCGTTTTGTTATCAAACTTGGTTTTGTTATCTTATCTCGAGCGTATCTTGGATAGGACGGCCTCCCATAGCTTCGACGACGCGTCCAAGGGCGTATCTGACAGCGAGACAAACGTTCGCTGAGAAGGCCGCTATTGCCGCCCGCCCCGACCCGCACGCTGAGAGCCCAGAGAGATAAGTCGGCCATCGCTTCCAGTCGAGCGCTCCGTGAACGAAAACCGCCCTCGGGTTCGTGTGCGCGCAGGGCGCGCTGTCACGCGTACGCCCAAGGGAGAACGCATCGTTTGAACCTCGCGCTAATAAGAATTAAACCCCCTCTCCCTCCTGCACATACATAATATCGTTACCGAAGCGGGGAAAAAAAAAAACGATATATCAATAGAGAGTTTTAGTAGATCGTTCCCATGACTCCGATAACGATATCCCGATACTCAGCCACCGCCTCCCTTGCGCATACATAGTATCGTTATCGGGGCTATCGGAGGTATCGGAACGATCTACTAAAACTCTCTAATCTCTCTTTGTGACGGAGCGAAAGCGTAGCGAGCGCTTCGTCCCTGTCGGGGGCCGCAAACTGCAGTCGTAACGTATTCGTGAGATTCCTAAGGGAGTAACGCATTTCGTATTTACGTTGCTAGTTTACGGTACCCAGACTAAAACTACGTCGGCGAGGACCAGTTTGGTGCATGGGCCGAACGCAGCGTTCGGTCCGTTCTTCTTCAGCTCAAGAGCGGAGAGGCCAAAAGAAGTGCCCGCGGAACGTCGTTCATCTGGGCTCAAGGCTACACCGTGCTAACTGGAGGTTGGGGGTACCGAGGGACCGCGACAACGTCGTCCGCTGCGATTGGTCGCCGGCGCCCTTGGTCCCGCTTAAAGCATACGGCCCCCGGTGGGCTCAGACACTTGCATGGGGATTCAAAGCCTCCCACGAGTCGAAAGATCCACTAGCGGATCTTCCGTCTCGTTGGATATTCAGACACGTCGGACGTTCCGTCTCAAATGGACATCCAGACTCGACGGATGTTCGGTAGCGATGTACCCTCCGGCCTGGTTGGAGCTTTCGTCTCGTTGGTTAGAAATTTCGTGGCAAAAACGAAACGGGCATTATTAGACTCGAAGAATTAAATGTAAACTCCAACGAATGATCGGAGCCCAACGGGCCAACTCATT